TGCCTTCAGAGGGAGAGGGGATTCCCAAGGATGACTGAGACAGAAGAAAAGGTGGGAACAGCAGCAGCAGCCAGTGGATACTTGAGATGTCTGTCATGATACTCAGAGTCCTATTTTCTGCTCAACTCCCTACTGGAGGCATCCCCTCTAAGCCAGATTGTACTTTGGTAGTAAGCAGCAGTCAAGAGAAAGGATGAAAAGGAGTATTATCTACAGAGTAGGTCCATAAAGAAAAAATAATTTCATACAATGTGTTGGAGAATTTCTAAGGTCATTTGTACCAAGCCTAGTGCAATCCATTGCAAAGACCTTGCTCTTCACTATGCTTAAAAGCTCCTTGAATTAAACACCAAAGCCTACAGCTCATATTAAAGTATAATAAAATAATTTGTCTTTAGTTTTAAGGCCTGAATCATATTAAAAACTTGTTAGAAAGACTGAATCAGCTCTTGGTTTTATGAATTCAAACCCACCGTTATTACAGTCCACTGTTATTACAGTATCACAAATATTACAGTTCACAGACACTGCAGTCTACATCTTAAAAATCTTTATCAAAATATTTTGAGTCATAATTTTTTTAATATAATGAGCATGTTGAGCATAATGAACATGCCAAGTATTTTACTTTGCTAATATTTGCTTGTATATCTTTTTAAGGGTACTACATGTATATAGAGGCATCTGACATGGTCTATGGACAGAGAGCATACCTTTATTCAAGATTACTAAGAGGAATATCTGGAAAACAGTGCTTGACATTCTTCTATCACATGTATGGAGCTGGGACTGGATTATTAAGTGTTTATCTAAAAAAGGAAGGGGATGATGAAGAGATTCCTTTGTGGAGGAGGACAGGGGAACAAAGCATCTCATGGTTAAGGGGACTGATAGAATATGAAAGTGATAGAAACTACCAGGTAAGAAAAACAAGCAAGAAGCAGTCAAATTGGAAAACTGAAATGAACTTATTAAAGACATGAATTGTTTGCAAGTATTAAAATAGTTATTAACTCAAAATAATTTTTTAAGGTATTTAATGTTGTTTCCCATAATTTCTTGTCAGTAGTGGTAGGGTTGTTTTAGATCCCTTGTGGAATTTCTTTTCCTTCAGCTGTTTGTAGCTCTGTATAGATTTAACAGAGCCACTGAGCTATGATAAAATGGCAGCTTCCTGTAGGGTGGTCTTTCTAAGGTGGCACCAAAGACAAGGGATGATGCAAATCCAGAGCTCTTTGGTTTCAACATGACTTCAGTATTGCCGTAGACAAAACCTGGTTCAGTTTCTCTGTGAAAGAGGAAGTCGAAATTGCTAATGACTAAAACAGCACTGGGCACAAAATTGCACTGATCACCATCCACAAATGTTGTGGAGTTTTTTACTCACTTTCCCTTAAGAGCTTGAAAATTACTAAGGAAAGGAAAGGAAAAAGGAGAGGGAGACCATACTTGCTTCTTTCAGCATAGCACGCACTGAATTGCTCTGACTAAGCTAATCTGATGGAGGACAGAACTTTCTTTCCAAGAAGCAGGCTTTCAGGACACACTAGATCCTTGAATAGGTTGCATGCCTATCATTTTTCTGAGTCTGTCCACCTGTGGGACTCATGAAAAGCTGTGTCTTACCTTTACAGATTATTTTTGAGGTGATCCGCGGTGTGTCAATGAGAAGTGACACTGCTATTGATGATATTCTGTTCCAGCCAGGACCCTGTTTAGGTAAGTTTAAATATACATCATAAGAGACACCTGGCAATTCACAGTGCTTGTTTTAATTAGATGGATGATACTTCTTCCCTTGACTCCCCATTGAATGGGTTTGAATTTAGTATTTAGTAACTGCTGGGTCAGTGCAGAATTTTTGCTTTCTAATGCGATGTGAGATCATACTCAGACTCAACTAGTAAAGTGGCTGTAACATTTTTTAAAAACCATATTGCAGTCCCATTTAAATCCAGCATATTAATTGCATTCTGCTTCATGCGTTCTTATGTATGATTAAAATACAAATAATTATGGTCTTTCCTCCTATTTTGTATTCTAGAAGTGGAAGAAATTCAGTTCTCATCAGGCTATCCTGACAGCTTAAACGAAATTGAGTATTAAATACAGTCTGCTGAAAGAAAGTGCATAGAAGATTTGTATGTGAGAAACTGCACAAACTGCCTACTTTAAAATATGTTTTAAGTAAATACTGGATTGGTTTGAATATGCACCAATACATAGGAAGAACTCAGAGCACTCATGTTCCTCGCCTTTGCAATGAAATTTTTGACTCAGGGCTTCTTAGACCATAACTTTTTAAAATATTTTTTCCTCTTTTGCATGAGGTGTCAGTTATTGCATAAAGGCTTCCCATTTTGCACAGATCATTCATTTAAATTTTTTTTTAACCTTTCTGGTATATAAGTAAAAAGAGGAAAGTAAAGTTGCACAGTTAAAGTGGAATATTGTGTTATCTTAAATCTGCATTCAGTGAATGTTTTGTGTTGGGGATAGAATGGATTTTTGTTATGAAAATTATAAATATTTTGAAATAAGAAAGAAAATAGTGCTAGCTACTAGTAACAGCCTTAAGGTTCAGTGCAATTATTCATGATGACAAATCTCTCTGGGAAACTTAATACTCTGCTGGCAATTTTTTGTGATACTGTATTATTTTACTATAACAAATATATTTGTCATCCTTGCCAATAACAAACTCAGTTTTAGTATTCGGTATAAGCCATCATAAGCTGGAACTATATGAAATGAGACCCTTTGAAGCTACATGTTTTCTGGCATGCAAGTCTTTTTGTCTGGATTTTTTTATTCAATCAGTTTGTACACTCACAAAGAATGCACGTACACTTTACCCAACCACAGATGCGTGCATTTATATTAATAGGAAACTTAATTCACACATCTTTTTATTTTTTGGTTTTATGTATTTGTGTGTAAGGGATTTTTTTGAAATTATTAGAACTTCCTAATAAAATGTAACTTTGAATATCGCCTTATTGCTCTTCTTTAGACTTCATACTAATCAGTATAAGGAGAAAGAACTCAACCTAATAAAATAGCCTTAAGTAATTATTTTGAACTTTAGAGAATGAGATTAATCCAAGAATCCTACAAGTGTTGCTGATGTCATTGCAAAACCTCTCTTGATTTTTGAGTGGTCTTGGGAATCTGGAGAGGTCCCAGCTGACTGGAAGCTGGTGAACATTGTGCCAATTTTCAAGAAGGGCAAGAAGGAGGATCCTGGAAACTACAGGCCTGGTAAAGTTATGGAGAAGATTATTCTGGAAGGTATTGAAAAACACCTGAAAGACAATGCAGTCATTGGTCACTGCCAGCACAGCTTCATGAGAGGAAAGTCTGGCTTATCAAACCTCATTTAGTCTTATGAGAAGGTAACCCACACAGCTGATCAAGGGAAGCCAGTTGATGTAATCATTTTGGATTTCAGTAAAGCTTTCAATACCGTCTCTCACAGGATCCTTCTGACTAAATATCTACTTGGATAAACACATCATGTGGTGGGTGAGCAATTGGCTCACAGGTCGAGCACAGAGGGTAATAGTGACTGAGGTAACATCAGACTGGTGACCTGTCACTAGTGAGGTTCTGCAGGGCTCCATCTTAGGCCTTGTGCTCTTCAACATCTTCATAAATGACTTGGATGCAGGACTGGAAGGGATACTAAGCAAGATTGCAGGTGACACAAAACTGGGAGGAGCTGTTGACTCTCGAAAGCAGGGAGGTCCTTCAGAGAGACCTTGACAAATCAGAGAACTGGACAATCACAAGGGAAAGTGCCACATTCTGCACCTGGGATGGGACAATCCTGGATGTTTGTACAGACTGGGGAATGAGATGCTGGAAAGCAGTTCCATGAAAAGGGACCTGGGGATCAACAGCAAGTTGAATATGAGTCAGCAGTGCCCTGGCAGCCAGGAGGGCCAACTGTGTCCTGGGAAGAATCAGGCCAAGCATCCCCAGCTGGGCAAGGGAGAGGATTGTCCTGCTCTGCTCTGCACTGGTGCTACCTCACCTTGAATATTGTGGCAGTTTTGGGCACCACAATATAAGAAATATATTAAGTTCTTAGAGAGTGTCCAAAGGAGGGCAATGAAGATGGTGAAGGGCCTTGAGGGGAAGCCGTATGAGGAACAGATGAGGTCACTTGGTGTGTTCAGCCTGTAGAAGAGGAGACTGAGGGGAGATCTCGTTGCAGTCTGCAACTTCCTTGTGAGGGGAAGAGGAGGGGCAGGAACTGATCTCTTCTCTGTGGTGACTAGTGACAGAACCTGAGGGAATGGCCTGAAGTTGTGTCAGGGGAGTTTTAGGTTGGTTATTAGAAAGGGGTTCTTCACCCAGAGGGGTGTTGAGTGCTGGAACAGTCTCCTCAGAGAAGTGGTCACAGCACCAAGCCTGACAGAGTTCAAGAAGCATTTGGACAATACTCTCAGGCACATGGTGTGACTCTTAGGGATGGTCCTGTGCAGGCCTAAGGGTTGGACTCGATGATCCTTGTGAGTCCCTTCCAACTCAGCATATTATGTGATTCTGTGAAATGTGTGGGTCCCATTACTTAAGAAAGCTGAGAGCTTCTGAAGTGCTACAAGAAGCCATGTACTGAGTGCTAGAAGTTAATCTTACAGTCACCACACTCTGCTCCTTTCAGAACTAAGTATATACTTTTCCTAACAGCCTGTAAGGATCAACAACACCTTTGATGATCTTGGTCCTTGCATCTTCATTAAACTTTAATTTTGGTGCCAAAATCAATAGAAGAGATTGTTCAGTTCAATACATTTAGTACCACACAGATTGAAGCAGTTTATTGTTTCCTAGAGACTGAGGAAGAGCCAAAAGAAATTGACATCTTAACTGCCTATCCTATCTATCTACAGTCTCCCTTGTAAGCTGCTTATAAACACATCAGTCTTGATATTATTCTGCAAATGAAAGCAAACAGAAACAATGGACTGTTTCCTATGAATCATTTGTTCCATAAAGTGTATGCTTTGGTATCAACATTCAGCTCAAATTATCTAAGCAAAAAACAAATGAAAATGAAATGTTTAAAATAATCAGGCTTGGTGGCTCTCCATACTTCTGATGGGTCTTTTCTGTAAATGAAATGAAGCATGAAGTATAACTATTAGATTCCTGTCTCTGAAGATTTATGCAACTCTGCTTCCCTCCATCAAAGTAATCAGATTTAGGCTACTAGATTAAAAACATAAGGAAAGTACTCTCACCTGCTCTCCATTGAGTGTTCTGTAGGGACCTCACTGCTACAACGATTTTAGCAGTACCAATGAGGGTAGCATTTATCCACAGGTGTGAGGTATTGTCCTGACTGCAAAGAAAAAAAAAAGCGCTTAAGTTTTTCCTTAAGTAGAGAACAACATTACCTTTCCACCATTTTTGCTGCAGGAAACAAAACAGAGGGAAAATTTGAAATGTGGCTTTCAATTACTTCAATGCCTGATGAATATCGGTTTATAGAAGAGGAAATTCACAGACTAGGAAGAGAATGACTAGAAAACATTTGAATGCTAGGGAAGGTGCACTGAGATTTCTCTACTGGCAAACTTCAGTTTTATTGTAAGAGAAAAATCACTCAATCAGCTCTGTCCAAATAAGAGACTCCCCATGCAATTAATTTCTGGATCCATTTTTTTTACTCTTTGTTCCTTTCTTCACTGCTGCAGTAGCTGTACAGGGACCACAGCTGGGCAAAGAACAGTTCTTCTGAGACTTGCCATACTAGGAAATGAAATAAAAAGTATTGGGATAAAAGATTTCTTAAAAAATGCAGATGAACAACCAGATGATGTGGAGGTTTTAATAAAATGTAGCTCTTGATCCAGAAATGGTGACATGATTTTGGTAGTAGCCAAAAATAAGCTTTTGCTTTTTGATACTGAAACAGGTGATTTGTTAACACAAGTCATCATCAGTCATTACAGTACAATCCAATACTGTGACTTTTGTCCTCATGATGAGTTAGTAGCAGTTGTTTTATCTCACTGTTCTGTTGAATTATGGAATATTAAATCTCTGTCAAAAGTGGCATATTGCAGGGGACACATGAGCTGGGTTCACTGTGTGACATTTTCACCAGATGGATCTTTAATACTGACATCATCTGATGACCAGACAAAATGCATCTGGGAGACAAAGAAGGTGCTCAAGTCTTCTCGTGCTATGCTGAAAAGTGAACTAGATGTTGTATTTCTCAATGGTGAAGTTTTAGCAATTTACAATCAGAACCAACTACACTTATCAATGGAAATACAGACAATGTTATTATGGAGACAGCAGCGCAAGAACCCCCCATTTCCTGCTGTTGCTTAAGTGAAGATCTTAAATATGGCTGTTTACTGTCTGAAAATTTCTTCAAAAGATACTGGAGAACTACAAATAATTGCTTTGATTCACAATTTTATCACAGTCTGTAAAACGCACATGAAAAAGAAACCTTGAAAAGCAACTGTAGCACCCTAAACACTAACAGGTTTGTATTTGATTGCTCTAGGTGTGTAGCTTTGTGGTGGAGTGGAACTCAACTTGTCTTGAGATCAATGGAAAGCCTCCTGCTTAATATTCTTTAAGTATTTTCCCATCAGTTGACATTTTATCATTATTCTTATAAATTTCGAAGGCAAAGGCTGAACTCGGATCTCGGTTATGCTGATGGAAATCCAGAATAACAACATAAAATAATATTGTCAGTCTAGCTTTATGCTAAAGTAAATGAAACTATATTCTGACTATAGTGTCACACCAAAACCAAACTTCACACATAAACCAAACTTTACAGTCACGAAGATTCACTAACACAGCTCAAGCCAAGTACTGAAAGACCTGGCATTTTATCTACCTGGATCTGAACAGAGTTTATGAATGTGCCTGCCCTCATTCAGGAGATCCACTGCTCCAAAAGGACCGCTGTGTAAAGTCAAAGGCTGAAGAGAGCACCCTCTGCCACATGACAGAGTCAAAATGTTCTACCCCTGACATTTTGAAAAAAAGAAAAATTGACTCTCATCCCACCTCAAAAAAACCCCCACTTGATGTCTGTGGTGGTGCATTCCTCTGCCCCTCTCCTCAGTTTGGGCCACTCAGGAATTTTCATTAGGCCTCAGCCTTGATTAATGGCTCCTGCGAGTTAAGCTCACCCTTGAGCTTAGTAGAAACAATGTCTGCTTCTGGGAACTTCTGCTGCCTCACCAACTCCTGTTGTCTGACAGGCAGCCTTGAAACATTATTTACTGAACCATTAGCCCAGATCACAGAATTATTAGGGTTGGAAGAGGCCTCTGGAGGTCAGCTAGTCCAACCCCCATGCCATAACCTAGAGCCGGGTACACAATGCATCCAGGTGGGTTTTGAATGTCTCCAGAGGGGGAGACTCCATGTCCTCCCTGGGCAGCCTGTTCTAGTGCTCTCTTTCTCATGTTGAGGTGGAATGTCTTGTGTTTTAGCTCATGGCCAGTGCTCCCTGTCCCGTCACTGGGCACCACTGAAAAGAGTCTGGCACCATCCTCTTGGCACAGACCTTTGACTTGCTTATATGATACGCCTTAATGAGATCCTCCCTCACTCTTCTCTGGACTGAACAGGCCCAGTTCCCGCAGTCTCCACATATAAATGGCTTTAGCAGAAGTGATGGTGAACGGGAGGTTGGGTTTTGTGACGAGCCAAGCCGGTGCGATCCCGTTCAGGGGCTCTGCGGCCAGTTGTAGAAACGACTTTAACTGTTGTTGCAGCTTCCATAGCCAGGGTGAAAAACAACAGCATATATAGGCCACCAGGGATCCCTAAAGACCCCAAAACCCACAGCAAGGTGCAAACAACCCCTTAAATGAAAGACGGTCGAACGTTCTGTAAAGTAAACGCTTCTCGAGGCTCAGCCCTCGCCTGCTGAGAGACGCCGGGCATCTGACAGGAGTATGTCACTCTTAGGAGCGTTTCTGAAGGGCGGCTATCCTCCCTGCAGGTTGTCTGGTCTCTGAATGAACACGTGTAAACAACGTTTTTCCTGTTACTTTGCTGCAAATGTAACAAACGCTACCCCGCTGAGCAGATGCCCCTCACAGACCGGCGGGCTGCTGCCTCCTCGCGGACAAGCACCGGCCCGCGCGCCGCGCGGCCTCACCCGCCGCAATGCCCGCCCGGCGCGCACCCCGCACGCGCGCACTCCGCACCGCGCGCCCCTCCAGCCAATAGACGCCGGCACGGCGCGCTTCCCGCCAATGAAGAGCTCCAGCGCAACTTAGTCCCGCCCTCCCGGGCCATAAGAGCGCGGCGCGCGCGAGAGCCCGGCGTTAGGGCCGAAGGGGGGTGGGAGAGAGGGTGATAGAGGCCAAGATGGCGGCGGCCGAGGAGGAGCCCGCGCGGGAAAATGGCAGCGCGGACAGGAGGGCCGCGAAGGGCGGCAAAGCGCCTCAGCCTTTCGTCCTGGGCTCCGTGGTTCGGATCTTCATGAAGAACTTCCTGTGAGTGAGTGAATGAGTGAGGGGCGCTCTGCCCCACCTCGGGGGGCTGCGGCCTCCCTCCGCCCGTCCCTCCCGGCGGGCCTGCAGCCGAGAAGCCACAGCAGCGAAGCGGGGTTACCGCGGGTGGCGGCGGCTGCAAGAGGGACTGCGTCAAGGGATGCCTTCCTTGCAAGGCGGTACCCTGTTCGGAGTGTGGAGTGAACCTGCCGTGGGTTAAATGAGTGGAATCTTGTGCGACTGTGGTACAGCAGGCAGTTGGAGTTAAATATAATAGAATTGACTGAGCTCACTCAATTTTGCTTTTTAAAATTTTTTTTAATTTATAAAATAAAATTATACCCTAGTAAATTCAAGGTAAATTATCATTATGTTGCTGAATTTCGTTCTTTGTAATCACTAATTTTGAAGGAAGTTTTTGTGAGTACTCTGGCTGGTAGGAATCTGTTTCACGGAGTTTTACTGAAATATTAATTTTCACTCTTGAGGTCTTCTTACAAAATGGTGTTTGGGGATTGAGTTTAGATTAGGTAATTTTACATTGTATTCAATTAAATCATAAATTGATTTTAAGAAAGTATTCTTTTTTTCAAGGAAATGTGGTGTCTATAAGATTCAAAAAATTACTATGTTTTCCAGAATATATGATAACTGTGAAGTATATCCAGGGCCCAACCTGAACGTGGTTGTAGGTGCTAATGGAACAGGGAAGTCAAGCATTGTTTGTGCCATCTGCCTGGGACTGGCTGGGAAACCTTCTTTCATAGGGCGGGCCGATAAGGTAACTATGAGCTTTTGTAATTTCATGTTGAATCTGAGTTTGGTTAAGAGCATTGTCCAGTGGAGGAAGGGATGAAAGGCTCTTCCATGACTTACTTTATTTTCATAAAAGGTAGGTATCCAAATTGAAGAATTGCCTATTCCAAAGGCAAAGGGTTTTACAAAGGGATTTTCTCTTTCTGAATTAATCATTGTCTTGGATGAATTATGAAATGGAAACACCTGAATTACACTGCAGCCTGGGTGGACTAGAGGTTATGTTTGAAGATGATTAAGCATCCATAGTGGGGCTAAAAAAATGCCTAGATAACATTTGATCAGAAGTACCAACTAAAGGAGAAATAAACAAAACAGTGTAAATTAAATTTCTGAGTAGATAGTATCTGTAGAAATAACATATCCTTAGTGTGTCTGAGAATATCTCTAAAAGTATGCAGGCACTGATCTTAGGTTTAAGTGGAATTTGGATTGCTCTACTATATGTACTTTTTTTTTACTCCCAAGAGATCATGTGTTGACATTGTAGTAGGAAGTTTGTATTGTGTAATTTTCAAGTTTTGCAGTTGCTATTATGGATATTCTCTTTTTATACAAGGTATTTTAGTAGATCTTTGAAGCAATGAATCTGGGTGCCTAAGTGACTGTATATATTCTCTTGTTGTGGCTGAGCCAGGAGCAAATGTAAATACAGAAATTGACTTCATGGCAGTAGTATGTGTTGGTATTTTTATTGACTTTCCAGGGTTGTTTTTATACTATTAGAATTGGTAGTTCTGTTGGTACAGATATTTGGCAGTATCTTTTCATTTGTATTGCCTTTGTTGTCCTGACTTGTGAGAACTTCCTCTCAGTGGATCTGCTGATAATTTGTTCGATTTTGGAGGTTAAAGTTAATCAGGAATGGTTAACTTGTGGAGGAAGTTCTAATAATGCTAGTTGATGTGCAAGATAAGTGTGTTCCTGTATCTTTAGTTAATAGTTAAAAAAACCAACAAACTTAATTGTATGTTTTCAATAAAATATCCCATTATGTCAACTGTATTATACAAATGCATGTTTTTGTAAAATATTAACTTTTAATACTGTACTGTTATTTTGCAATAACAATTTCTAAATTAATTTTCTAGGTTGGTCTCTTTGTAAAGCAGGGATGCACGAAAGGTTTAGTGGAAATTGAACTGTAAGTACTAAAAGTGTATTTCCTCATTCACTTTTAATTAAATCATTTCTCCACTCAGTTATTCACAAAGCTGGGAAAAAAAAATTGGTATACAGAGGTCTGTCTTTAAGCTGGTGCTTTTTTCTCTTTTTATTCCCCCCCGACTTAAAAATTTTAAGGTTAAATAATTACCACAGAAGAAATAAGCAGTGATGGCTGCTCTTGATCTCACTTTCTGGAGCCTTTCACTTTGTCTTATGTAAAAAGAATGTATAGATAAAAATTGTTGTATATGGTATGTTTAGATTTTGATGACATTTAAGGTTCAGATGGTTCAAATACAGTCAGCACTGCCATCATTATGTAGGGGTTGGAATTTTTTTGTTAAATTGAAAAAAGTCAAAGTCTAAATTTTGAAACAGATTGTTCTGCCTTCACTTTCTTATACTGATACCGGTAGTATGAGGAGCTCTCCTACATTCATACCAAAAACATTACATACTGACACAAAAAAACTGGAAGATCTGGCTCATTCTTGCTAATGCAGTCTTGTATGTAAGCTTTTGCAAAACAGACCAAATCAAAATCATTTGGACTTACTCTGTAAAATTTGTAACTTGTGATACAGGGCCATATTACATACTTCCTTGCTTTTTTGTGGATGCAATGACACAGGTGATTTTAATAAGCCTTAACCTGGTCTGTTCACATGAACTAAATGAAAGATAGAGATAATCAACTAATTCATAACCTGTGTTAACAATTTGTTACCCTGATCAGATTGCATAAAAAGAAAATTATATTAGGGAAAAATATACTGGAACAGGCCTCTGAACAAGACCTGTCCACTTTTGTTCTTGTGGAAGTGAATAAAGACGACATTCTTTGGAGACTGGCCAAGCAATAGGTCAGGAGGTAGGATGTCTTTCAGGGTAGATGGTGTTATTATTTCAGCATAAATACATCCTGATGTTACTTGAAAGTCTGAAAAAAGTCTTGCAGTGTGAAGACTTAGCATTTTTATTCTAGTGGTTGCAATGCAGTTGAGCCCTTTATCTAATTGGTAGAAAATACTTAAATACAACATTTAGATTGAAAGACCAGTGATGCAGAAGATTGCATTTTGACAGGAATTGAAAAATTTGAGTTCTGTAGGCATATACTGTGCTGGTTGAATTTGGCCCTTGAATTATAATTAAAATCAGGTTATAGTAGTAAAAGTCTTTAATTTGATAAAAGAAAAGGAGCATGGCTTTCTATGTCTTGTGAAGGAAGTCTGATTAAAATAAGGTAATGGAGGAAAGAATCATCCAGTCTTCAAGAAATAGACTCATATCCCTATGGCACTTAATCCAAAAGCTGGCAGCAGATGCATATTCACTTTACATTGATCTCTGTTCTTAAGTCTCCTGAGGTATGTGGCCACTAAACTTTTACAAGCCTGTGTTTTCCAGTTTTAACAATATGCTTAACAGGCACTAGACAATTTCTAAATCAAAATTATAACCAAAATTTGACTTACCTCATTGCTCATTTGTTATTGATGCATCTTAAACAGACTAAACTTCTGAAAATAAGTGTTGAGTTAGAGAACTAAATAGACAATTAATGTGTTTTTACTGGTTTTTAAAAGCAGAAAATGAAAATTAGTATTTTTATGCTTTATGATTTTGTTTTTATTCCCAGATGGAGTATGTATGCACAGCTTATTGATATAGTTCTGTACACTAATGCTTTATTTTAAAGCCTTACAGCTGGTGTGTACCTCCTTAATGCCAATTTTTAAACTTACTAAATGTCAAACAAAAAAATTACACTTTCATAGAAACTGTTAACATCTGCAACAACTTTTGAATGTTTCATACATTCAGCATGAGCATCTCATTTATGTAAATTACTTCCTCTGAGTTAAGATTTGCAGATGTTTGAGGATGCTTTCCATATGAGTTTAGTTCATCACTGAAGTACTGGATGTTTTCTGAATAATGAAATGAGAATCTGATGCTACTGTCCAGTTATTTAAATATTTAGCTGTCTAAAAATTCTGATAATACTTTGACACTTGGTAAACTTTGTGTATTCTCAAAAGTGTAAGCACTTATTTTTATTAATCAGGTTTAAGCCACCAGGCAATATTATTATCACCCGTGAGATTCAAGTGGTGAACAACACATCATCGTGGTGGATCAACAGAAAGCCAGCAACCCTGAAAACAGTAGAAGAACACATTGCAGCTTTGAACATCCAGGTGGACAATCTGTGCCATTTTCTTCCTCAGGTATGGATGAATCAGACCAGCTGCCCTGAGGCCTAATCAGCTGACCGGGGGTGGAGCCAAGCTCCTTGCCAAGAGATTTTAAAGTGCTCCTGGAAGCACAGTGAACAGGAGTGGGCAGACAGGAGCGTGGCATTGCAGTTTGCACGGGCAGGGCGAGCCGGAAGGGCAGAGGCACCCTCCCAGCTCTTTCTGGTGAGTTGTGAGGTAGGTGTGCAGCTCTGGGTATTTTTCTTTTTTTTTTCCACAACTCGACCCAGCAATGGTTTCCAAACAAGTGAAGGCCATTGCTGCTGATATCAGGAGGAGTGTGCTAACCCAAACAGAACCCCTCAAGAAGGGCACAGCTGTTCAGGTCACTGGCTGTAGGGAATGTCTGAACCTGGCGTTAGTACCAGAGGACAGCGCAAGAGACCCCTGCCTACGATGCGAGCGGGTGATTGATTTGCTGTGCTTAGTGGCAGAGCTCAAGGAAGAAGGGGAGAGGCTAAGGAGTATTAGGGAAAGTGAAAGCAAAGTTGTCTGGTAGAGTCACACTCTTTCAACCCCCTGCCCCTCCTGCCATCAGGCAGATGGAGCAAACCAAGTAGATGGGGGGGAATGGAAACAGGTCCCCAGTCGCAGAGGTAAAAGAATCCCCTGCCGACCCCCATCAGCTCCCCTGCTGCTGTTAAGGAACAGGTTTAAGGTCCTGGACCCAGAGAGTCAAGAAGAGGATCTGTCTGGAGGGTCTCCAGCTTGCACCCCGTCTAGTAGATGGGTTATAGCCACAGCCACAAAGAAAAAAGAAGGGTAACTGTAGAAGGCAAATCTCTTCTGAGGGGAGCTGAAGGCCCTATATGCTGACCGGACCCATCCCATGGGGAAGTCTGCTGCCTTCCTGGGGCCTGGGTTAGGGATAGCCCTGAGCTAATCCAGCCTTCTGATTATCCACTGCTGGTGTTCCAGGCTGGCAGTGATGACTGTACTGAAAGAGGTACCAGGCTAATTAAAAAGGACTTCAAAGTTCGGCTCAATTAGGTAATGGGACAGCAGCACAGGTGGTGTTTGCCTCACTTCCTACAGTAGCAGGGATGAATGAGGAGAGGAGTAGGAAAACCCATCTTATCAATAGGTGGCTAAAAGATTGGTACCACTGGCAGAATTTTGGTTTTTTTGACCATGGAGCAAATTCTATCATATCCAGCCTGTTAGAGTCAGATGGGCATCATCTATCTAGCAAGGGCAAAAGGACTCTAGCCCATAAATTGGCGGAGGTGATCAGGAGGGCTTTAAACTAAGTTTGAAGGGGAAGGGGTTTAAAACCAGGCTCTCCAGAGATGAGCCTCAGGGTGGAAAGCCAGGTTTAGAAGTGAAGTCAGCAGCCCAGCTGAAGTGCGTGTACACCAGCATGGGCAACAAACAAGAGGAGCTGGAAGCCATCGTGCAGCAGGAAAGCTGTGATGTAGTCACCATCACAGAAACGTGGTGGGATGACTCGCATGACTGGAATGCTGCCATGGATGGCTACAAGCTCTTCAGAAGGGTTGGGCAAGGTAGGAGAGGTGGAGGGGTGGCTCTAGATGTTAGAGAATCTCTTCTGAGTCTGTAGAACTTGAAATCAGTAATGATAAGGTTGAGTGCCTGTGGACCAGAATCAGGGGGAAAGCCAACAAGGCTGACATGCTGGTGGGAGTCTGTTGTAGACCACCCAATTAGAATGAAGAGGACGATGAATTATTCTACAAGCAGCTGGTAGATGTCTCAGATCACCAATTTAGAGTAGGACTTTCAGCATACTCTGCTAACATAACTTCATATTGAAAACAACTTTTTCTCTTCAGTACATAAATGTCAGTTCAGTCGGTAATACTGTGTTGATAGGGTTTATTTGTTCTCTGCCACTGCATCAATGGCAAGCACACCTTTTGCTTCATTCTTGGTTTTGAGCTGTTCTTCTGCCCTTACACAGCAGCAATACTTCCTGGTAGCCTTGGCTGCCACCATTAATATTCATTTCTACGTGGCTTAACTTTTGAGTTAGTCATAGCATTCCTGCTGCAAAGGTGTAGCTCGAGCAACCTGAGAACAAATGTTTAGAAGAGCTGCATTGCTACTCTATGACATGGTAATGAACTATGCTAGAGCTGTAAGTCAGGTGATGTTCATGAGAAGTAGGTTGCAGGATATAAATCCAGTATTGCTGTATTGCACTGTTTTAGCTAATCCTTTATTTTTGTAACTTTTTTCTCATTTTGTAGGACAGAGTTGGAGAATTTGCAAAACTGAGTAAGACTGAATTGCTTGAAGCCACTGAAAAATCGATTGGTTCTCGAGAAATGTACCAGTTCCACTGCGAACTAAAAAGCTTTCGAGAAAGGGAAAGAGAACTGGAGGTAAATATGTGCTATGTAGAGGCAGAGCAGTGACTGGAGGGAAATTATCATGATAAAACTTAACATGAGATCTTACAGAATTAGAAGGTGATATTTATTTCCCAAGTCTGTAAGTTGATTTTACCAAATAATGCTCATCTTCTCTCAGAATTCATTTCCTCTGACACTCACATGCTTGTAAGTACAAGGATATGTGTGCAAGTGATCTGGACACAGAGAACAAGGGATGTCAAATACTTATCTCTTTAGAATTCTTGATTGGCAACAACTTTTCTGGACAGATCCTTTTATGTCTTTTAGAAGTCATGAGCTATTACAGGATGGTCCTTTGCTTTAATCTTGCTGACTTAAACTTCCATAGAAAGGAACAGACAAAGAGGAAAAGGAACAGTGTTCTGGGAATAGTGTCTCTTCTTAGCTGTACAGGCCATTCGTTTAATCCTTTCTTCTGCTGTGTCTTCTTGTGCTTACACTTGTGCATTTTCACTCATACATGTTACACTCTCGTACTAACCTTGCTGTTTCTGTTGCCTATTTCTATATGGTCTTTTACAAGCATTTTTGCTAGTAGTATTTATTGAAACTAGTTAGATGTTTAGAAATATATAGGTTAATGAAGGTTTGAGCTTCAAGAATTAATTTCCTCAGCACATTTAAAAAAACCCAACATGAAATTTCTTCAGATTGGGATTTCTGTTTGAATTAGCTTTCACAGAAAGTATGTGGTTGTCATGGTTTAGGAACAGTACTCCTCATTTTAGTGGCCCCACTGTGACTGTCCAGACCACACTGCTGCTCGCTTGTTCCCCTCTCCTCTTCCCCATGCAGGTGGGTGGAGAGAATTGGAGGCACAAGATCAGGGGTCGAGATAAGAAGAAGTTGCTGGAAACAGCAGGGAGAGAAAATGAATAGTAACAGCACTGATAACAAAATTGTACACTAATAACAAAAGTGTACAAAAGAGAAAGTGATTCACATGCAAAAATGCTCACCATGGGGCTTGACCTGACCACAGCCATGCCACTTCTGGCTCAGAACCAGCAACCACCCAGCCGCTCCTGCCAGCTCAGAGCCAGTACTGGGCTTAGCTCCCCCAGAAGGAAGCCCTTCTCCCTCGGAAGAGAGACGGGACAACTATTCTGAGTTGGGTTGTACCCCTCTATTTACTGCTGTACTAAAATGTCCCCTCTAGTGTTAAATTTCTGCTTTAACATACAGGTGAGATGTGCACTGTTTCTGAGAAACGTTTTCACCAAATAGATGCTTACATTGCAGCACTTGTGCAGAGAAAAAACTAACTCATTGGAGAAAATGAAACAGATGATTGAACGATACAAGCAAGATGTTGACAGATACCTAGAGCACAAGAGCCACATAGACTTGATAGAGATGCTTGAGAGGAAAAGGCCTTGGTTGGTAAGTTTTTTTTTATTTTTATTTTCAGTGTTTTCCTTGCCTAACCCATTTTTTGTAACACCCCAAAATTGGAAATAGGCCAAAAGTTGCTTTAAAAGAAGTTTGACCAGAGCAGCTTGAAGCTTAATGCAGACAACAGGTCAGGTTTTGAAATACTGTTCTTGGCCTAACTGTGATCAGATGTTTGCTTACATATCTAGCTGGACTGAAGAAGTTGCTTCAGAAGTAATTCAAGCAGTTATTGCCCATTTAGGGAAGCCAACAATACAGGCCAGGAGCGGTAGTTTATTGTGTGCAGACACTACTGGTTTAATTTAAGTGCTAACCAGTTGTACTTCTTCCTGCTGTAACTTTTTTTTTCCATATTTTTGCTAGGGTTTTTGTCTTTACAGATTGCATTCTCCCTTAATTTTTTAGTTGAGGTTTGGTGTACATGACATACATGACAGTGAATTTAGGTTGCCATTCTCAAAAATATTAGTGTCTGGACAGATAGAAATTTTAAAACAAATTTAAAAGAACCTAGAATGAAGAACAGGTTGTTTACACAAAACGAAGTCTTTCTGAACAGCACTTTGATAATTGTAGTTTAGTGTTGAATGGTTGGTCAGATTAAATTTTTCTAAAGAGTTTAAACTGATGTGGATTTCAGTTTACTGAAATGTTTGTCTCATTGGCAAGCTTTCTAGAGTTCAGGAAATAGAGTTACAGAACTTGCAAGAAAACTTGCAGGTACTATTTGTGGAGAATGTGGAAAGCTTCCTAAGTCATTTTGTTGCAATTTTGCATGTAACAAAGCCTCACATGGCTATATATAGAAAACTTTACATCTTGAGCAACTGGGTCAAGGGATGTACCATCACTGCCTTAATCTTTTTAGTAACAGCACAGAGGGGTGGTAGTTGAAATAGATGGATGGTGGTAGGTAGGAAGTAGGATATACATTCTGTGATGTCAGCACTTGCTGAATGTTGCAAGGTTTTCATACTGCAGATGCATTAGTTAACAATGAGTTAACTGGCTGAGTTAACAAGAGAATTATTTTATTAAGAGAGGTGTAGGTGTTGTGTAGTTAATGTAGATGGATACTGATTGTTCTCTAAGATATTTGTATATACAGGACTCTGAAGGCTGGTTGGAAAATGGCATGGGGAGAACTAAACTAAGGAATTTTATCTGCTGTCAGTTAAATTGCCTTCCATAAGTTTGAGAACATTACTGTTAGTTACCTATTTCTTAAGCAAATGTAGTGAAACTCTTTCACACCTTACTCTCAGTGCTGTCTTCCAGACAGTTTGTGTTGCTCAGTATGTTAAATGCTTTTGGTGGGTGCATTTAGTTGAGATAAATTTAACTTTCTGGCCACTGAATCCATAGAAACAGCAGTGTGTTTTGACACCTTTGTTAAGTTCTGATTTATAATACGGGCTCAGTAGTGTATACTAGAATGTTTTAGTAGAAGTCACTTCCTTGTGCATAATCTACAGTTGAAATCGAAAGTCATCATCAACATAATTATTTTATTAGGTAGAGGATATTCGAGCTATGGGCAGCAACAAAATTCACATTCTGTTGCCATTTTGTGGTTTGTCCAATTGTGGTAGAACTCTTGCTATTCTCCTACATTGCAAAATATCAAACTCTCTCTAAAAGAAGAAATGCATTGTCTTAAAAGTGCATGTTTCTTTGTTGTCTGACCTAGCACTGTGTAGTCCTATGAATAAATGTTTTTGGTGTCTTCAAATTGGGTTTACCAAAGTTGAGGGTAGTATGGGAGTTAATTCTTCCTTGAGTGGATGTTTTCTCTCCTTCATCCTCTCCAAAAGGGAGGTTTCTACTTGAAGACCAGACACACCTAGCTGTTTAGATTTACCTCTGTAAGAAAACAGAAGCTGTAGGTGAGCCTTCAAATCAGGGGGAGGCAGATATATAAACTTTGCATTATGTTGTAAAATAGGAAGACAGCCAACCTGAAAACATGTTAACTGAAATATGACATTAGACAATCTCTTGATCCTAATGGAAAAGGGGATATCTAGTGCTGAACTTCTTAATGTTCTGACCACTCTCAAAGTGCATTTTTATTCTGAAAACTCTACTGCTCTTCACCTGAGCAACATGTTTCTAATCAAGCATTTTTCTCTAGACAGCACCAACAGTTTCTCTTTTGAGAATTATGCACCATTTTTATGCATGTCTGCCTAATAAACTTTTGAACATGTGCTTTCAATTGCATAGAATGGACCATAGGAGTACCACATTAAAGGATTTAGGGGATGCTTTATGTTCTTGTGTGTACCTTAGTGGGGCTTGCATCAAGTGATGGTGTCATCTACAGTCAGTGCTGCAGGGGCTAGGGGGTTTTGTTTGACCCAGATAACCCTTCTTTTATAAAGCCTTACAGAAAAGGGGTTTCTTACCCCTCAAAGCTTAAAGTTAAGGTTGTGATGTACCATGAGGAATACTGGTTTAAGGTAGTTTAATGGCAGGAAATGCTGTTCTGCCTGCTGCTGTAAGTGTCCTAGAAACACATAAGTTTGAAAATGTGTTTTGACCAAACCATGTCCATTCTTTTCCTCCTCTGACATTTACAATTAAGAAAAATACTGTTCTCTGATTAAGATGCAAATCTCTTGGGGATGCTGAAGTGCTTTAGAAGTTCTGCAGATCTTTAACAGGGTACATAATTACATGGATCAAAGTTATTTGCTTAAGGATTACTGAAATATAGAGGTCCTGTGAAAGTCAAGTTTTCTTAAGTGATAAAGGGATCAACTGTATAAAAGCGGTGTCATGACAACTTTTAGGGAGAAATGAAACATAATTGTATGTGTGTGTATTTGCTTTAACCTTGAAACTTAATAACTTCTTTAGAGCAGAGCTAAATTTTAAGCTTATTCTTTCAGCCTAGTGAAAGTATGATCGCTTTACCTCTGTAACTTTGTAACACTGGCTGCTGATCATACTCCACATCAGTTACAGCAGCTTTCTTCAAGTACTTTTTGGCTTTTTGAAAAAGATGCTATGAAAAAAGACCTTGAATTTTATAACCTATGTTGATGTATTTGTGATTAATCAGGGTAATTCAGTAACTACGAAAACACAGTAGCAGATAAAGCTGAGTTAGCTGTTACAAATAGAGCTTCCAGGCTGTTTTTATCTATTATTATTTTAATGCTCCAAGGCTTGGAATAAGCTAGGCATATGCTCTAAATCAGAGGCTTTCTTTAGTGTATACAAAATCAAACAACTCTCCCTTCCTCAATCCCCCTGCATACATGAATCTACTCCTCCTCCCTCTGGTCCTCTGAGCACCTTTTTTACTTGTGAACTCTTAACAGTCCTGGAGCAGCAATGTTCTTTTGTTTCTTTGTTTGTTTGGGTCTTTTTTCCATCCTCTTTTTTTCCTCCAGAGAGCATAACACATAAAAAAAATCATTGACAATGACTCTCTGTTTTAACTGCTTTCTCCTCAAAATTCCTACCTTCTTGAAGTGGAAATTCTTGGTCACCATACTTCTTACCATCTCTTTCCTTTCAGGAATGTATCTCCAGTTAAACTTCCTAGATAGTTACTTCTTTGCTATTTGTGATGTATGGTGGAGTTTTTGTTTGTTTTCTGAAGTTCTGTTCCACTCTATCCTCTTGGTTTACTTAAGCAGTTATGTGTGTTACTAGGTCTGATCTGTCCAGCTCCTTTCCTTTTCTTTCTCCTGAAGTTGTCTGTGGTTATTTGCTCCTTAGCTTGAGGACTTCTGCTTAAGTAGTCTCAAATTATGGACAGAAGGGGTAAAGAATTACTTTTCCACACTGATCCTAGATGGACTTAGAGGCAAGGTAATTGCAGACAAATTGGTTTTTTCTTCTGCAACTTGAATTGCATAATTTTTAAGAACCAATTAATTTGTGTGCTTGTTCACTGGGGACTGAATAATCCTTACAACTCCTAGTCATTGAGACTAGTAACAGGAGGATTTCTTAAGTAGTTGTTCTAATACTAGGTTCTGAAACTCACAATAAATGAAATAAAATGTTAGGGCAGTATAAAATAGTGGAGTAGAAGATGGAAGTCTTTAATTATTTTACTTTCAACTCCTCCAAGGAATATGAAAATGTTCGTATGCAGTATATGGAAGTGAAACAGCGCAGAAACAAAGCCAAGAAAGACCTGGAGATTCTGAAAGAAAGACAGTTCCCAAGGGCAAAAAAAATCCGAGAAGCTGAAGAAAATTTGAACAGTCTGGATTTGAAAACAAGAGATAATGTAGGTATTGAAATTCTTGGTTAACATGTGTTATATTTCAGATGTTCTTTGTTCAGCTTTGTGAAATGTCAAGTAGTAACTGCTTGCTTTCTCATGTGTCATAATGATGTGTTTCAGAAGAAATTTTTCTGAAGCACCTGTGCCATTGGTTCTTGTTGCCTTCGTATCTCTGTTCTAGGCATACATTCCTTAGTAAAAATTCAGAAGCAACTCTGTAAGTCTGCTCTTGCTTTTGTAGGAGCAAATTTTATAATTCTTTTCACAGGGATATCATGTTAACAGTTTCCCTAAGTTAGGTACTTTTGTTGAATTAGATGCTTGTTTTCACCTATGGTTTGGATTTGTGGATGCTCTTATCTTCTTAAAATGTAACCAGTTTGGGTAGTTAATTTAAGTTAAATTACAACTTTTCTGGCCTATCGCATTCCTTAAATATTGAATGTCATTCCATGAGGGCACAGTAATCCTCCATAGGTTGTGAGTATTTTTATGTATAAGGGAATTTAATGGTAAACCTACCTATGTGTTACAGCCTACTGCCTGTTTTTTGGATAGCTGCTATCAGGGTTTATGGAAAATTACTATTTCTGTATGAAAAATAGTACTGTAATTCTCTGCAGAGTTTTAACTACTATATACTGTTGAGACTGCAGAAGTCATTGTTTGCATGAGCTGCACAAATTTTTAGTGGATAACTGAAGATAAATGATAACATGAGAATGTTCACTGCAGTGAGTTCTTGTTGAAGATAACTGATCAGATCAGAGGACTTGATATGGAGATATGTGACTCCTGTAGACAACTGCTACCTTGAAGCATCTTGTAGAATCAGGGTCTGAAACTTCAGTGGCATTTACCACTCTGAGCTACTGGGCCATGCACGTGGTTGCTTTAAAAATAAAAAAGGCAAACACCCTTGCCCCAAACAAAAAAACATCCAAAACCAAGCCAGAAAAAAAGACAAACAAAATCCAGATTGTTGTTTACAGCGTTTCTGTTTTGTTGTGATACACACTGTACCTGAAAATACCATTTACACAAGTACCTCACTATTGTTGTATTATTAGGAAAGCCTTTTGCTAAATGTATTCTTTGGATTTTGTGTACCACATTACTACAAAAGTTTATTATATTGTGATTCAGAATACTTAAATGTTTAAAAATATTGTAGTTTTATTGAAGTGGACTTTTTTGCTGTAGTTAGGTTTTTTGTTTTGAAGGTTTTTGTTGTTGTTTAAAGTTTTGCTCTTCCTTAGAGGAAAGTTAACAGCTGGAAGCTTGAAATTAATTTTCATATGCAGTAAGAGCCTTCATGCTTGTGAATTGATAAGCTTTGTTTTCACTGCTTGGTGTTATCCTGCTAGGTTTTACTCATCTTTCAGTTTAATGAATGTTGTACTAATATGTTTTCTTCAAATAGGAAAGAGTTCTACTTAACCATTGGTACCACTGGTCTTGGAAGTGTTGGGCTATAGTCATATAAAAGTTATCCTCTGTAGATCTTGTGTACTCTGTATGAGAAACCTAGGACAAAACAGGGATTGTTTTAGTTTTAACTTGCAGAGAGCTTGCTTGGCATAGGCTGCTTTGTACAAAGTGGAAGAAAAACGGGGGAATGTACTAGCTGATTGATTTATACTCTTGAATCAGCGTATTTTTCTGCTCAATCTAAACTTGTGGAGTAAAGCTTTCACATACAAAATGTTCACAAGGTTAACTGTATGCTGAAGTGATGTTTAGTTTGGGGCTCGGAAAATGGGTTAGGTACATCTGTTTGCAATATTTCAGAAGCCAGAAGTGGAAAGCAGTATTAGAATATTGCAGTAAGTGTTCTATAAATTATTTACATCAAATGTAATATTCTAATACTACTTTCCAGTGATTAGTTACCATTAGTTACTATTTTGTATTTAATATTATAGTAAGACATTTCCAAATCTGAGTTTTGTTCCGGTGTTAAATAGTGTGTCCAGGTCTAATTTGAATGATGATTATTCTATCTTGTATGCATACAGTCCAGGATTGTGGAAAAAGACTTAAGGGAATATATTATATACTTGGTTATGGCATGAACAATTTGTAAGATAGTAGGCCAGTGAAGATGATGTTAGAGTATTGCTACTTTGTGAATTTTTGTGACAGTAGCTTTTCTTTGGGTGCTGAAATCCATTTCCTTTCTACATAACCTTCCTGTTGAGCTGTTAGAATGCCTTCTATAAGGAGAGTCATTGCTGGTTGCACTGTCAGGAGTTTCACAAGAGTTTTAAATACCATACCTTAAAATTGTTTAAGTTGCTACTTCTTCATTAGTGTGTCACTTTTTTGTAGACTGCTTGAATTTTTTGTAACTTGAAATTCCATCTTTGTAGGTGTAAGCATTTGGTGAGCATTTCATAGATAATTCTTCTGTAACCAAACAGGAGTTGATTAATGAATGATTTTATTATAGAAAAAGTGTAACTATTCTGACTCAGAAGGAGTTCCTTTTCAAGCTAAATGTCAAAAGCAGTTTAGTATTTTAAGTCTGCTCTATTTTGGGCACACAGACCTGTAGGGAATGGTCTTCAGACCCCTTGGTCAAGGCTTGTATCCATTATCAAGTAACTGTAATTCTGACTGGTGCTTGAGATCTTGCTCTTGGCTTGAGGGTATATATGTGAGAGCAGAGATCAACCATCTCTTTGTCTTTGTTGGTAAAAAGCTGGGCGTAGAGTTAAAATTCTGCCTGGAAGGAGCTGAACTGAAAGTAAAGGTGGAGCTAAATCTGGGAAGAAATTAGTGTGTCAAGACATCACATGACTTTTGTTCCTGTCTCTTCCTGTGTTAAAATTCTTTTGGTTATTGGGTTAGATTAAAAATTACTAGTCAGAATTGGTGCTTTGGGATCATTGGATGTGTAGATTGTGGGGAAAAAAGGAAGAGACCTGTTTTGTAGGAAGGAGTTGATAAAATTGTATAGGGGAAGTCTAGAGCAGTTTCTGGTTCAGTCTCTTTAAAGGTGTATGAAGACAGTTGACTCTGAAATGCAATTTTTTATCCATATTTAATAGTATAAAGCAGTCTGTTGTGGCTGTACCAGGAAAATCATAAAGACAATTATAGTTATTTTTCTGTAGGATAGGTGTATATATAAATATATAATAACTGAAAATATAATAATTGAAAAGTGGAATTTCAGTTCCTTAATAGTGTCCTGATTTTGAGAGCCTTCAGAATTGTTTTGTGAACATTGTGCATCAATTTCCTGGGAGAGAGCTTCCTCTTCAGATGCTCTTTGGAGAGAGCATCACAGAATCAGTACCTCATAGCAGTCAACTGCAAGACCAAGATGTATTTGTTCCATGTTGCCTTCATGCAAACAGCTGTGGAGTCTGAGTCTCAAGTTTTTGTGTATCTTTGAGATTGTGGAAGGGAGAAGATTCTGCGTAGTTCTATTTTCTCCATTCTTGGTGCATCTTGGTATTTTCTGTATGACTTGGTTTGTAGGAAGACGTGTCCTTTGGTGAGAGTGCTGCATTTGTTTCCTTGTCTGCATTGGAATTTTCTTACAGTCCTTCCATCCTTCTGTAGTGTTCCAGTATTCTTTTTGCACTGCTTTCAACCTTGAGGATTCAGGAAAGGAGGAATTAAGTTTGCAGAGAAAGCATAGTACACTCCACTGCATTCAGAACTCAGGTGTGTAAGTGCCTGGACACTAATAAAACCTAATCTGAGAAAGGAATTGGACTGGGAGCTGCCAAAAAGTTCCTTCCAATCTATGTTATTGTACACCTTTATAGAATCTGCGGATAGAGGAAGAGTAGAGACATGGATGCCTACACGAGCCAACAAGTTGTCAAGCTCAACTGTGTAGGGTATAGCTTCAGCACAGTCCACTTCAGAGGCAAGTGACTGTCAAATTCTGTTTGGCCAGCTTGTGTCTAGGAACTCACGCCTTGCTTGCTCTTAAGTATCAGCTTTCTTTGGTAAAGTTGATTTGGAAAAAGAGGTAAGAACACTTTATAATTGTGAGGATCTGAATATATAACGTTTTTTGAAATCAAGGATGGAGTTACTTTAATTTCAGATTAGGTTAGGACACTTCCTCTATATGTCATGCCTGAACTGGCAGATCTATAGCTGAATGGTTGTGAACAGTTTGCACGCCATTCTAAATTCTTCACAAATTGCTGAAATTACATGTTACAGATACAGTTAAGAATAATAAAAAACTGTAAGTTACTTTGTCATTAGTAAAATATGGAGTAAATGCTTAGTTATGTTATATAGAATGTTGCTTAAAATATGACTGCTTATTACGAGTATAATTGAATTAATGACTACAATTTAAATACCTTTCTGTATGCAGACTGCTAAAATCATAGAGATTTCCCAGAGAATTAAACAGAAGCAAGATGCTTTGGAGATGAAAGAAAAAAAGGTAAAAGTCTTGATATTTGTGACTTTCTTTGGTGTTTCTCTGGGTTTTTTTGTCTGCTCTTCTGTTAGCGGAGTGGCACATTTCCATGAAGATGCTGCAAGTGCTTGCACACTTCACTTCCTCCAGTGCACAAGAAATCTTCAGAACTCCTGTTAGTCAAATAGTATTACTAAGGGATGTGTGTATGCTACATAAAGTGAGTTGCCTTGGTGCAACGAACTTAGGAATAGACAATGTGTGTGTATAAATATGGATATATACACACACTATATATGACAGGCTTTCCTTGAAAAGCTACAGTCTCCGTAGTGATGCCTTCAGCATTATGAATGCCCTCAGACCCTCTGTGTGAGAGGTGAGATAGTTGCGTCTGGTAAGTGTATATATCCAGCATCTCTTCAAAAGAAAATGCAAAGATGTTAACCAGTGCTAGAGCTTAATCTAAGCACTTGGTCAAGAAATGCGTTAAGTAAAATGTACAAGGGTGTAGAGTCAAAATTTCAAAGTTGTGTTTGTGCTAGAGGTTTTATTTAATCACAGACTAACTTTTTGATGTGTTAAGGAATATGTTAAGCTTTAGGCTTACGCTTTGGTGAAAATGAAGGAACTTCAGTAATTCTTTTAAAAGCCTAATTGTTTTTTTACTTATGTACTTCAACTGTCATAGTGCTATTGGAATTGTGACAGACTCTTAGGGGTTGACTGCATGGTTATATCAGCATTTAATACCAGTTGTACAGGTATCCTAGGCATTTGTGTGTATATATATATATATTTACAGACTAGGCTCTATATACTAAACTCCTTATTGAAAATACTCAAAATTTTTAGATTGAAGAAATTAAGCAAGCACTGAGAATGAAAAAAGATGAAGAAATGGACAGACAGAAGAAAATACACACTACTCAGGAGATAATAGAGACGTGGAAGAATGAGCTGAACACAATGGCAGTATGTGAGAATCTTCAGCCACAGATTGATGCTATTAATAATGAGCTGAAAAAATTACAAGAAGAAAGGACAAATATTGATAGTGATATCAGTGACCTAAGAGCAGAGAAAAGGAATCAAGAGAGAGAAGAGAAAAGTAAGTTACTTGGGTTTTTGTTTGTTGCTTTATTTTACTGTGTTAATGGCTGTACAGAATCTACTTTTCCGGCTGTAGTGAAATAATTTCAGGTGTTTACCTCAAGCCTCATAGTTGGCATATGTGTATAGCAGTCCTCTCTCCTGTTTTATTAAAAGTAGCAGATAAGACTTTCAAAATAGAATGAGAATATTCAAAAGTAACAATTGACCTTAAAACTATTCTCCAAAAAATTAGTGTTTCTGATCTCAGGTAAGGGGACTCCTTTTGGGTGTGTAGTTAGTAGGATGCAAAAATAAAAGCAGTTTTCTTTCAAGAGGCAGTTTTTACAATTATCTCTGTAATAAATCATGGCCAGGCTTCGCAAATGAAGATTTGTGAAGGGTTCCACCCACGTTTTTTACAAGCGTGCTGGTGGCTAAAAAGGCCAATACGAGACAGGCACGTCCGGTTGCAAAAGGCACAGCAGAAAGACTCCTTAGGTGGTATGTTCTGCAAGGCACGATTCTTCCTGTGTTGTCTTTTCTTCTCGAGAGCAATCCTGTGTGCTTTCTCAAAGGAAGCAGCAGCGTTATAGATGGTGTGTCTCGAGGCCTCCCAACTGGAGGCCAGAGTAGATCAGTTATGTTGATCAATATGGCCAAGGCTGAGATGTTGTTTCAGGGAGTCCTTGTATCTTCTCTTTGGGGCTCCTCTCTTGCAGCAGCCGGTGGCAAGTTCACCACAAAGCACGATCTTAGGGAGGCAGTGGTCCTTCATCCTGTAGACGTGCCCTACCCAACACAGCTGTGTTCTCAGCAACATGGCCTCAATACTTGTGACTGCTGCTTGTTCTAGAACAGATGTATTGGTCACATAATCTGACCAGTGGATGTTTAGGATTGTACAGAGACAGCATTGATGGAAACGTTCTAGGAGTTGCAGGTGGTGGTGGTAGATGACCCATGATTCAGATCCATATAAGAGAGTAGACAGCACTATAGCTTTGTAAACACTGATCTTTGTACTTCAAGTGTTTATTTCGCCATACTCTTTAATAAATAGAGATATATATTTATCTCTACATTAGCTACTGATGCATTTGTCCTTTCTAGATGAACTTTAGGTAACCTTAATTACAGAAAGCTTCTTTAGCCTAGGATTTACAATTATTTCTTTCTGAGAAACAAAATTCAAAAACAATACCTTATCAGGTAGGAGATGTTGGATATATTCCTCAGTGAATTTAGCTCATTTGCACATACCCATATGTCTGGCAGTTAACTTGTCATAGAATCCAAGAAGAAACTGAGGTACAGTGAGTCCGAGAGATCTCAGGAGGGAGACACTATGTATTTTCTCTTGAGCAGCACAGAAACTATTTGATCTGTTTCTGCTGACTAGCGCACAGAATCTACTGTCACACATTTTGTTTTTTCCAAGCATGAAATAACACACAGGTATTCATGTTACTAGTCCCACTGCTTCTTTTCTCTTGGGATGTTATGTTCTATCACTGTATTTAAAAAACAGTCTTGAAGAAATATACTTTCGGGATGAAATGCCTGTACTTCTACTGTACTACCACATTTTGTTTTTCTTAAAGTTTTAACTTTATTTTAGTCTTTAAGCCTTAATAGTTCTTAACATTTCTTTAAGCAGTGTCTCAATTCTGGAAAGAGAAACTTAGTTCTTAGCATTTACTAACAACCTTCTTTTTGGAGTAGCACAGTCAATAAATACTGGAAAATGCTAGTTACAGTGTGTGCTTGCTAGGGGACTCTGTTGTGTGCTTGCTAGGGGACTCTGTTGTGTGCTTGCTAGGGGACTCTGTTGTGTGCTTGCTAGGGGACTCTGTTGTGTGCTTGCTAGGGGACTCTGTTGTGTGCTTGCTAGGGGACTCTGTTGTGTGCTTGCTAGGGGACTCTGTTGTGTGCTTGCTAGGGGACTCTGTTGTGTGCTTGCTAGGGGACTCTGTTGTGTGCTTGCTAGGGGACTCTGTTGTGTGCTTGCTAGGGGACTCTGTTGTGTGCTTGCTAGGGGACTCTGTTGTGTGCTTGCTAGGGGACTCTGTTGTGTGCTTGCTAGGGGACTCTGTTGTGTGCTTGCTAGGGGACTCTGTTGTGTGCTTGCTAGGGGACTCTGTTGTGTGCTTGCTAGGGGACTCTGTTGTGTGCTTGCTAGGGGACTCTGTTGTGTGCTTGCTAGGGGACTCTGTTGTGTGCTTGCTAGGGGACTCTGTTGTGTGCTTGCTAGGGGACTCTGTTGTGTGCTTGCTAGGGGACTCTGTTGTGTGCTTGCTAGGGGACTCTGTTGTGTGCTTGCTAGGGGACTCTGTTGAAGAAACTATCTTAAATTACAGGAATAATTGATCACCTTGGAAAACTTAATAATATAATGAAAATGAAGGAGGAGAACCTCAGAGGGAGATTCCTGGACACATACTCTGCTCTTACGTGGCTAAGAAAGAACAAAGACAAGTTTAAAAAAAAAGTTTACGAACCCATGATGCTTGAAGTAAGAAAATTTACTTGCATATCACTGAGTAGTTAATGGTTAGATTATTTATGTGTTGCAAGACTTGGAGAACAACTTTAAAAACTTTTAAGACACACCTTGGAATGTCCTGCCAAGTACATGCAGGATACATTAGCATGATGAACTATTTGTAATTGTAATTCATAGGCAATACTGTGGTTCTCAACATTGAATAAGATGGGATGGTTCCTTCCCTCCTCAAGAAAGTGTCTATTGCAGATTTCCTCTAAGGTGCATCCAGTTATTTAGACTTCAGTAGTTCTTACTTGATGCTTGGTATTGGAATTGAATATCTCCACTTATAGCACAACCTGCTCAGCTATGGTTACATGTCTGTGATCCCCAGGTATCTTTTTGGTTTGCTTTACACAGCCAGCTACAGACAGAGACATGTGATCCATCCCTAGTTTTGGTTTGGTTTGACAGATGCTGTACTAGATAGGAATAGCAGGAATAAATTTTCAAAGAGGATATAGATTTATTTTTTTTTTAGTGTATTACTCAATCACTATCCCAGCATCTTGCTATATATGCCCCATGTAATGTGAAGAGGATGAGTGCACTTCTCATCAGAATTGCAAGCTTATTTAATAGTGTATTGCTGCAATTTAAATAAGTATATTAGAATATTTGTATATCAATTCTTACATTTTGTACATGCACTAGGACTATTCAATGTTACTTTTTTTTAGTATAGAATCCCAAGAATTTCAATTCTTCCTGGAAGACCACATCAAGTTAATTTTACAAATGCTTTGATAGGATGCCTTTGCTTTAAGGTCACGTTACATACTGTAACATCCATTGATGTCTAAATTTTTCTTGGTATTGTAGTTCAACCCCAGACAACACCAAGCCCCACGCAGCAGCTGCTTGCTCACTCTCCCCCCCCAGCAGGATCAGGGAAGGAATCAGAAGGGTAAAAGCCTAAAGACTCATGGGTTGAGATGAAGATAGTTTAATAGGGAGACCAAAAGCTGCACACACAAGCAAGGCAAAATAAGGAATTAATTCACTGCCTCCTGTGGGCAGGGAGGTGTTCAGCCTTCAGGAGAGCATGACCCCATCACATCTAATGGTGACTTGGTGTCCTGGTTTCAGCCAAGGACAGGGTTAATTTTTTGCAATAGCTGAGAGAAGGTGTGGCTGAGGGGCCAGACCCTAATGTTGTTGATCCCACCTCATGTCACTACCAGGGGTGGGGAAAAAGGGACTTTCTCTGTTTCTGAGAGGAAGAGTGTCCCTTTCCAGTCAGGAGGAAGGGTGGTGGGGAAGAGTAGGCTTTCTGTGTAAATGGTCTCTTACACCTTCTGTAATTAATACTGAGGGTGTTACTGTTCATTTTCTTATCTTATGGCTGTTCACATAAATTGTTTGTTTTTCAACCTCTGATTTTCAACTTTTGTACCTCCAATTCTCAATTCCATCCTGTGGGAGCTGAAAAGGGAAGGGAAAGTGAGGAGTGAGTGGCAGCATAGTTTTAGTGGGACTACTAAATTGGAGAATACTGTTTCTAAACCACAACACTTAGGAAGATAAAACACCATTTATCCAAATGTCCCCCTTTCCTCCTCCTTCCCCCTACTTTTTATGCTTTGTGTGCTTTCACATGGTATGGAGCATCCCTTTGGTCAGTTAGGGTCAGCTGTCCTAGCCATGTCTCCTCCCAGTCTCCCACTTTGGTCACCAGTGTGGCAGTACGAAGAGCAGAAAAGGTCTTGGCTCTGTGTAAGCCCTGCTGAGCAATAACAAAAACATCTCAGTATTATGAACCCTGTTCAGCATAAATCCAAAACAGTGCCCCATACTAGCCACTGTGAAGTAAATTAACTCTACCCCAACCAAAACCAGCATACTTGGTATATAAGTTAGTCTCATGTACTTAAAAATTTTAGCTTTCAAATTGCTTTTAACTGTACCCAGCCTTTGGCTGACTTGAGGTTATTAAATTGTGTAGGTCTGTCTAATTTTGCCTTTGCGTGTTATGGAAAGTGATATAATGTCTAATTACTAGTGAGAGTTAACTGAAAAGTACATTAACATTTCAGATATGACAAACTTCATCTGTTGAACATGGATTTTTTTTTTTTTTTTAAATAATTCAAAGACAATTCAGCCAGTCTCAAAATCTGTCTGGGTCGTGGTTCACTTTTCTCTACTTGTAGTTGATCTTCACGGTATCCAATTAAGGGGAACTCTATACGAATAGTTTGTGGAGTGTGGTGTTTTCTGCTTGTTAATTCCTCAGCTTGATTGTTTCTGAACCCTGAGAAAGCTTTAGTAGTACTGGAGCAAGGCCATTAGACATCAGATGGGGGTGGTTGCAATTGTAAGGATAGGGTGGAGCAGAAGAGGGAGTGGTGGTATGGAGAGAGGTGGTAGCTTTGGGTGTACTGAAGAAGGATATGGATGGCTAAAAACTAAGCACAATGACCTATGACTTACAGTAGATTTCTTCCCAAGAGAATGGGTTGCAAAAAAGGCAGAGGATATGTTTTTAAAGACATTTTCTTTGTTTTCATTAAATGTAGGCATGCATATAATCTTGATTATTTAAAATGTTTTTTGGGGTGATACGTCCAATTGTATTAAATCACTTTCTCATTATCTTTTTTTATTAGATCAATCCAAGAGACAGTAGACATGCTAAATATATTGAAAACCACATTTCAAGCGATGACATGAGGGCTTTTGTTTTTGAGAGTCAAGAAGATATGGAAGTGTTTCTTGTAGAGGCAAGTTGGCACTCATTTTAAAAATCGATTAAATACTGATGTAGGAACCTTAAACTTTGGAGTTTACCAAGTAAATATTAAGTTTCGATTGGAACAATAGCTAATGCAAAGTGTTTAAAGGTTTTCTTCTGGATTAAGGTTTTCTTAATCAGTAAGATTTTTTTTAAATCTTAGAGTAACATTCCGTAGAGGAATGCAGAAATATTAAGAATATCTTTTTAGAAATACCTTCTTGTCTTTTTTGACTAGGTGATAATTGCTAAATATAAAATACTGTGTACAAGAAAACGGGCCAGAGTGGGGATCTACAAATTGAGTACCAAGATTTTGCAGTGCCTTCTCACGAAAGAGACAAGAGAGCATCTTCTGTGAGATGCAATGGTCCAAGTTAAAAATCAGGCTTGTATTTTCTTAGTACTGCTCCTTCCTGAATCATAGAGGAGATTGTTCCTTTTGAAAGCCAGGTAGATGATGCAGGAGGAAAAAGCCATAAGATATGGTGTTAAACTGTCATAATGGTTCCTATCTACTGTCCGCAGAATAGTGTGCTCAATGACAAACTGTCCTTCAATGTTTGAAGACCTTCACAGGTCTGCCCTTCACAGAAGCTAGTAATTTTTATATACATGAACGATAGTGGTGATATCTGAGATTCTGAGGGCTTGTCTTGCCTGCAGGTTGTGGAACCCATTGCAAGGCTGCTTTAACTAGCTAAACTGATGTTTCATTTATAGCCGCAGTCTTTTCTGCGCTGTTAGGGTTAGGTTTTTCAACATGTTTGCAGTCAGTGGTCTACCATTCTCTGTGCAAAATGGCTATACAGCTTGAGACCATGGGCTTCCTTATTGCATCCAGATTAACTGTTCAGATTTTGTTTTCCTGTAGTGCATAATACTTAGAGACATTAACAGAGTTTGCTTTTAGAGAACTTGGTTATACCTGAGCCAGAGTGTATTTGTGGGGGTTCTTCCAGAGGTCATCAGTTTAAAAGAATTCTGATGCTGTAAATTGATAATAAATACTTTATTTTCATGTGGTGAATTTTTCTGGTCTTCTTTACCAAATCTAATATAGATACGTGATCATCAGAAACTAAGAGTGAATGCTGTATGCGCACCTGCTGCATCATGTGCTGAAAACCTCCCTTCAAGACCTATTGAGGAATTACAGTATGTATCAGATTGTATTGGGGGGAATGGTTTTAAATGCAATTGTTTTTTGCTGTTGCTATATATTAGAATTTTCTGTGCAAATCAGATTTTTGGACCAGTTCAGTTCTGGGTTAGCGGGACTTCTTTCTGACTTAGTAACTTCAACTTACTTACCTGCTAAATTTGATTTCTGATGGGTGCTTATTTTTCCTTTTTTTCAGCCAATATGGATTTTTCTCATATTTACGAGAGTTATTTGATGCTCCTCGTCCTGTGATGAGTTATCTTTGTTACCAATATCATGTTCATGAAGTTCCTGTGGGAACAGAGAAGACCAGAGACATGATTGAAAAGGTGAAGTATCTGAAGTAGCACAAACACCTATAGTCTAGAGTTTTATTGTGGAAATTTTTTGGCAAGTTAATCTGGAGAAAGCAAAAAAATTGCTTTAGTGATTTTATTTCTCCTTTTATTTGTCCTTTAGAAGTGGGAACAGTTCATTATAGGCTAATATACTGCAAGACATTTTAACAAATTCAATTATTTTAATACAGTACTTCACAGGAGGTTAAATCTGTCTTTCACCTGTATGCTGTTCCAAGTCAGTGTCCTGGTTTGGGCCAAAGACAGAGTTAATTTTTTGCAGTAGACAAGAGGGGGATGCAGCTCAGTAATCAGTCTGCCAGGCCCCTAGTATTTATATTTCAACTGTTGCCCTCCCCTTACCACAGAGGCTTCATTCATTTGGCTGCTTCATTGCAGCATTTCACGGTTGTGGATAACCTGGGAGACTGTCCATGGTTCAGTCCACCCCTCCATCACGAGTTCACCTGCATGTTGTATCTCTTCCCTGATGACTTAAGAGGTCATGGACCATACCCCCTCAGCCATGCCCTTTCTTGGCTATGGCAGAAAATTAACCCTCTATTGACTGAAACAAGGACAGTTGTCAACCAGAGTCTGAGTGGTAAATCAAACACTCTCTTTACTGAACCAAATCAAGGGAATACAGCTGGTGCTGTGTATATAAACTGAACAAAATTTTTGGTCAGATTTATCTTATCCTGTGGAGGCTTTTTGCTGTTTTCTGGTTTACTGGACATTTTATGTCTTTATATCTTTTTGAAGTACTGTGTTACCTTGCATTATTAGAAATAACCAAAGATTTACCATATCCTTTTTGATATGAGTAATTTAAAAGTAGCAACTAGTATTTTTATATCTCCTTATTTCTCCAGAAGCATTTACTTGACTGAAGATAATGCATTACAGAGCACTTTATGGCTTCATCTTTTAGTTTCTTGAGTACTTTATTTCTGTGTTATGCAGGCTATACCTATAAGGTGTCAATGCATCTGCAGCCAGTACAATCCTTCTTCATGATACAATACAAATATTAACAGTTGCTTCTGGTATCTGTAATATAGTAATAGTCATAACCTGTTTAACTGCTGTATGACAGTAACAGTTAACAGTTCTTTGCTCACCAGTCTGAATTACAAGTATAATGCTGCATTAAACATAGCATCATCTTTTTGCAAAGCTTGTTAGCAAGTCAGAGTCTTGCATAAACTGAAGTTTTTTTACTGTGGATTTTAGTTTATTTGTTGTTCTGAAAAGCATTGCCTTAAGCAATGCTTTTGTCAGATCAATATTTTTGTGTGTTTTTTAGGTCATACGAGAAACCAAATTTAGGCAAATATACACAGCGGAAGAAAGATATATTATTAAAGTATCTTCTTATACAAATCGAACCCTCTCTACTAACACATTCCTGAGGGCAGCACAGTTTCTCAGTGGTTCTGTGGATACAGATGAAAGAAGGCAGTTGGAAAGCCAACAACAGGTAGGAATTTATCTCTGTGCTGTATATGTTGTGAACTACTACCCATTTTACTATACAATAAGAGGAGCATACTTGCATGTTGTTAGTATGGTATATTTGTAGTAAGAATGCTGGTAGTGGTGTGTGTTCTTTTATTTCAGGACATCAATAACATGTCGAAGGCATTGGATATGCGTTTGGCTACGTTGTTTGAGAGACAGAAACATCTGGAACACAGAGACAATGAGCTCAGGCAACAGAAGAAGGACCTTTTAGAGAGAGGAAACAGAAGGAGACAATTGGAATCAAAAATAGCTTTGAAGTATGATAGGTAGGTAACAAGCCATATTATCTTATGCAAAATGAACATTTTAATAACGAAGTTATTTTTGCCACCTTCTTACTACAGTGTGCTTTTACAAAGTAACCAGTGGCTGAGCATCAGATAACAGGTGATAATCAAGACAAGTAAGGTGTTTAGAAGTTAAGATTTAAGGCAGTATCTAAGACCAGGTAACAGTGTTCCAGATGGTTTCCTGTAATAAAATCATAGGATTCCAGTTTGAATAATTCCATACAGTGACCCCTAATATTACCATATTCATCTGTTTTAGTGGTACATATCTAGATAATACCATAATGTACATAAATGGTGCTAAGTAAGTGTGTCAGGGTTTGAGTTGGACTTAATTGTCCATAGCATTTTTCATAACATTATTTTGTTTTGTGGGCCTCTGCAATTAGTTCTTCCGTTATGCTCTGTCTTAAGGCAGAATCTGGGCATGGCTGAGGAGGTATTTCATTTAAGCTCACACTCCCAGAAGCAGTAGACAACACTGACATCCAGTCTCAGTCTTTTCAGCTTTAGACCACTGTCATTCATTGACCATGTGCAGTACTGAACAGAGAAAAAAATCACTCTCATCCTGCCTGTGCTTCTACTCATACAACCAAGGACTGTATTTGCTACCCAGGCACACTGCCCGCTCATGCACAGCTCACTGTTCCACCATACCCCAAGTCCTTCACTGTGAACTTTGCTGCAGTCAGTCTGTCCTGAGCCTGTATCACTGCCAGACCAGCCTGCTTCTCAATGCATTTGATTAATCAAATATTGATTCCTCCCATAGTTTAAGACAGCTGGAACAAGATGCTATTGATGTAGAGAAGGAATCTCAACTGGCGAATCTAAAGATCAAAGAAATAAATAAACAGAAAGCAGAACTCGTTACTGAGTTTATGTATCTCACAAAGGTATGTATTTGTATCTTGGTATGTGTTCCACTTTTATTCACGGAGTTCACAGAATATTCTGAGTTGGAAGGGACTCACAAGGATCAGTAAATCCAACTCTTAGGTGAATGGTCCATCCAGGGACTGAAACCACAACCTTGCTTTATTAGCACCATGCTTTAATCAGCTGAGCTAATCTCACAATAATAGGAAAAGTCCAATTCTTTTAGTTTAAGTAGGAGACATGCAGTATTTGCATGCATTCCTGTAAATGTTTGAGCTAGTTTTCTTCAAGAGAAAGTTCTTTTGAAGGTTTTATGAACTTGAACTTGTTCATCTGTCATTGATCTGTAGATCATTTGCTTGTGTTGATGGAGAGTCTGTGACTGAAGTCTTAACAATCCATGGTTTGATTCAGTAAATACAGGAATGAACTCTGTAACTGTTTCATCCAGTATGTTTTCTGAATACTTCCTAACTCTAAAATTTTTCTTCCGCTCTAGTTCATCATCTCCCTTTTTTTTCTGTTCTTGTTTTTACTGAGAAAAGAATAGTCATTAGTTATGTGAAAAAGTGACCTGAGTGTCTGTGACTGTGGAAAATGTCAAGGATAGGAAAGATACTCAGGTCTCAGGCTCCAATGTCATAAGGCTTTTCTTTAACTCAAGAAACAGTCTGGACTTAACTTGTTGGATTAGCTTAAGCCTGCAAGTCCTAGTGATGGAAGATGCTGTAAGGTGAATTTTCTTGGGTGATTTTTTTGGGGGGGGTGGGGTGGGGAGGACTGGTGGGGTTTGGATGGTTTGTTTTAGTAACTAGAAGACATTTAGTTCCAAGGAATCCGCTTGTACACTCAGCAAGAAATGGTCCTGTTCTTGCAACCGCTTTGAGCATGTCTGTTTTCCCTTTGCCATCACTTACTAACATCGAAACATGTTCTTGCTTACCCCTGAAAAGAGCTGAGTGTTACCTTTGAAGCGAGGATGATTTCTAAATATTTCATTTGCTGATGTTTATATAATACAGAAAAAAATACTCCAGATGGATGGGTTGTTTCTGTTTGTTGATAGGTGTGGACTTGGCAACGATGGCATTGTTTCAGAGATCACCTTTGGGTCAGCCAGCCACAGTAGTTTGGAAATGCCAAAGAATGGCAGAAGGCACCTGCCATGTTAAAAGTATTACTTAAACTGTAGATTACTTCACAGAAATTACAGAACTTGTGAAGCTAGTAACAGTGCTGAAAAGTAACTTCTCAAAACTTGTGCAATGTGCTGCTGTTGTAAAGTGCAGCTGAAGTTGTTTACTGAGTGCTGTATGACCTGCCTGAAGAATGTCTCTTAAATTCTTTTTCACCCAGTACAGGAAAACAGATCTGACACATACTGTGTATTTCTCAGAATACCAGGAGTGTAGGGGAGGATGGATGGTATTTGCCTGAAATAGTTATTGATTGCAAAAAGGATTTATTTCAACTGTGTGTTAACTCAATTTTCACACATGGTGTGCTGTAGCAAATACATGCTAGTACATACTGAAAAGAAGAAAATGGTCTGGTACAAGGAAGATATTTCATTATATGTTTCATCACAATAGTTGAAATCCATACATATCTAGTTGTTCCCGAGCCAAACTTCATGAATGCTTCCAAAGTTGAGTCTTTGTATTTTCTTTATTAGGTTCTGTAGTTATACTAGCTGTAAGTTATTAAAGTGAGAAAAACTTCAGTAGTTGTATGTTTCAGACATACTCATTTCTGCCACAGAGGGAAATTTAAAATAGACAGGATTTGTGTGTGTATGTGAATGGTAATATGATCTCTTTTTTTAGAAGAGTTTGTGAGTCAACTAGAGAGACAGGCTGCATGTGTACTTACACAAACACACACGGCAGAGTGTACCTGGCACGTACCTAATACATATCAATACTTTACAGCCAGTTGACAGAAACAGCCATGTTCCATAGTTACAGATTCTGGCACTGCTTTTAGATGTAGTTCTGTTTGTGCTGTTGTTACTGAATAATCTTAAGGCTTTCCATTTTTTTTATCTCCCTTTTTAAATTTTTTTTTCAGTTTGCATTTCTGATAGTTGTTTTTAAGCTGTTTAAGAGAATTGGAAATAGACATTTTCCGATGTCCAAGTTCACACTACAGAAATTCAGATATCAAACCTTGTCAGATCATGGCTCATTGTGGTCAGAAGCTAACACACTCAAATCTTCATCTTGTAGGTCCTCTATGTTGACAGCTGAAACCTTGTCCTCCCTTTCATTAAGGGAGAGGATTCTTTTGTATTTATAAGCCAATCATTAAAAAAAAAAAAAAGAGAGAAACTGGTGTTCTCAATGCCCCATAAATTAAAGTTTGAAGATACCCTTCAAGCAGCCAAGAATCTGTTGCTGATTTTGAAGCCTCTAGATCATTCCTGAGGCCGACTTTTTTAAAGAAACAAGCGTTTTAATGTCAACACTGTCAAATCAGGTTCTGGAAATCACTGAAGCCTGTTAAGAAGCTTCCCAAATAGAGCCTCCTTCTGTTTTCAGACACTTTTCCAGTTAAGAAACAAGACACTGGAGTCACTGTACATCTGTCAATCACCTTGTGTTGTCATTAAGAGATGTATATATCTTCGTGTTTATTTTTTGACCTCCTTTCATCTCTATGTGTGACATATGGTGGCCACCAAAATCCACCATGACGTCCACCAAATTCTGTCTCTGAGAAACACTTGAAGCTGCCTTGGCTTTTCTTACGTTTCACATATGGTGAAGGGAAAGAGAATGTGGGGTTTTTTGATGTAAAATTGTTTGGTTGAAAGTGATGTGTGTGTGTGTGTATACGCATATTTAGAGATGAAAATATTTGGTGACTGTACATCTTGAAGAACTTGGGTCACCAATAAGTCACCTTTTTCATTGAATTTGACAGCAGTGTTGATGAGCCGAACACAGTGTGAGATTGTGTGTTATGACTAAAAAAATTGGATAATTTCTGAAGCCCGATAGTGATTATATTGGTTTTGAGTCTCTGGTGGAAAAAAAATTATCTGTTCTGTTTTCTTTGTAGGATATCATTCCACTGAGCATCCTCAAAGGGGTTTTGACTCTTCGAAGGAGTAAGGTGATTGCTGAGAAGACCAAACTAGAATCAGAGTATAAACCAGGAACTGTGCAGCTAAAAGCTGCAGAGGTAAAGACTTCTATGAATACTGGGATATCTACTATGACATCGTCTTATGTGCAAGTTCAAAAGGATGCTTTTCTGTCTTTGCTTAGGAGTGGGTATTAGTACTGCTAAATATTTAGCCTTGATTTCTGTAGTTTGACTTCAAGACAGATAAGCTGCTGTGAAAATGTACCCAAACAGTCATACCCTGGATCTTTTTGTTGAAATACATCGTGTGTGTAAAAACGCTAGCTGTCACTTGGAAGTATTATTTTTCTTCTGAGTCTGTCCATGGACAAGTAGCTCTGACCCATGTGGGAAATACCAACTCAAGATGAACCAGAAAGTGCAGCAGCAGAACAGAACTATTTTACCTTTCTTTCATAGCTCATTGTCTTGTGCTGTAATTAAATGCCTTTTTTTGCGGACAGAAAGGAGGATGTATGGCCCTTGTATTGATCATATTAAGGAAGCTTTGCTGTGTTCAGGTAAAAAGACAGTTTCTGAGGAATTAGTTCTGCAGGCAGATATTCTTTTCGAAGAGTAGAGGATGCTGTGATGCTCATGGATTGCTGCATAGAGGTCAATTTTTGTATTTGTGTAGTGGTACAAGCTTTAAGTGCTCTGGGGAGTAAACTATGAAAGCAAAGAGAGGTAAGTTTTCTGTTTTCTTTACCTGTAACCTACTGCTAATTCAATTGGATTAATAAAAATAAGAACTGGAAAGTGGTTCAGAAGGTAAGTGATAGTTATTTTGCATGGATATGGATACATACTTCCAAAAAGAATGACCTTGGCATGTCTTTAGAAAACCACTTGAGGTTATGGTTTCCGTCACTTGCAGGAAAACTGGGCAGAGGAGAGCTTCCTAAGAGGAGCAAAGAGTGACTTGAAGACATAGACAAGTCCAGCATGTTATTTGGAAAACGGCTGTTGCATCAGTTCTCACATGTGATGCACCTTTTATTCGGAGTTTATCAAAATCCAATGCAAGTGACTATTGCTAGAGCTCAATAAGGAGTAAGAATATATTACAAAGCCATGTGAGCAGTGTGTATTTTCACTGGGAAATGTATTTAATGTTTTTAGTTGTCTCCGCCCACATCTTCATCATTTTAGAGAGAAGCTTGGGCTGGTACATAGTTAGATGTCTGGTCAGCTTAGTAGACAGTACTTGTGAGGTAAATGTTCTGATAGTTTTTAAACAAAAATTGCCTCCTTCGCTAGAGAAGAGGTGTTTGAGTCAGGTGGGATCCCATTACTTGTCGTTACTGGGTTATATTCAACCCCATCACTAGAAGAAATCATATCAGTGCTTTATTTTTGATGGTTGACTCAATGAACATTAAAACAAATAAAACCCTAAAATTAGTAATCACAGTGGTTAGAATTTCTAGAAGTGCACCTGCTCTGGAGGAAAACTCCTCTGAGTGTTCAAGTGCATCTTAATTTTTCATGTACATGGAAATCCAAAGCTATACTTCCCCGTATGCTGTGTAAGTGTAGAAGACCCTTCTAGAAGATTTTACCATGAGGAGATTAGGGTTTTTTTGCTTGAGGTTTTATAGTACCTGAGTAAATATCTAACAGAGATTTGAACCAGACAGAAACCCCACTTTAGACATCTAAGTGGAAACCTTTTTTGAGGTCTCTGCAGTAGGACAATGTGGAGAGATAGGTTGTTTGTTACTTCATTTTTTTTAACAATTTAAGTGGAAAGGCTCAAAAAGGACATGTTTTTGAACAAGTCCAGTTAGCAACAACAGATTTAAGGCGTTTTTATTCTATCACTACGGTTCAAGTGAGATATAGTGATATCTTACCTTTGTATTTAATTTATTTAATGAGCCTGGGAAGTAAAACCTGTGTTTGTGACCCATACTGAACATTAAGGAGGATTGTTAGCCCTATTTGCTCATTAGGTAATTGCCACAGTTTCCTGCACGTTTGTTTATGATGGTTGTTTGAAAGTCTTGCTAATTGACTTGCTTTGTTCATTTATGGGCATGGGTTCAAACAAATTCATGAGAAGTCCTTCACTACTGCTAGCTCTGTTTTCTTTAACCAGCTTCTTATTTTGCATAAAACCAATTGCAGTACTGATGAGTGCAACAGAATAGGAGTTACTTGTGCATACAGAATAGAATTGGTTTCTGCTCTTTGGTAGAATCCTTTATGGAAGCTGTAATTGCAGCTCTAGTGCAGAACTTTCCTGAAGTACATGGATACAGCTATTTACAAGCTGATTCTTATGCCGTTGGCTGAAACAAATTTGAAGTTTTCTCTAGACTTACCATTTTTTATGGTAGCATCTCTGTTCAAAATGGCAATTCTTAGACCTGCTCTTTTTATCTATGATTGTTTTATTGAAGCACCTTCAGGAAATCAACAGGAACCTTACCATTCTGTTTAGCATGTGGCCAAGACAGTAAACTGGCAAAGCTGAATGAAAATTGAAACAACCTGTTGTTGAACTGTCAGTGCATTTATTCTGGTACACGCTTCATAATCACATCCAATGTCTATTTCTTTCCAGTCTTTCTGTTGAATACTGAAGTTTCCACTGCCAAACATGTATTTTCCTCTTCCCTGAAGAATTTTATTTGGCTTGGATCAGGCATATTCCATGTTGAATCTACTTGGCATTTGCAGTGCCTAGAGATCACCTTGAACTCTTATTCCATGCAGCTCTGCAGGGCTTGAAGTGGAAGCTTTAGGTACAATTGAGAGTTGAGATTACCCACTTCAAATGATTCAGAATTGACTTGAGCTCTGGAAATGGTCAAACACATAAGTATAAAATCAATGCTGCTTATATAAAAAAGTATGGGTGCTGCTGACTGTATCCTTTGCCTTCATGATCATGAAGTCAAACACATTTCACATTAAGCCTTTAAGGCTTTGAATTTCTGGGTCCCATTTTAATTTAGGACTTTGTAAAACATTCCTAAATTTTTTTTATTTAATGTATTATGTGACATATGCAGATATCCAATGCAATGTAAGTGTTGTGCTGTATAGGTTTGTTTATGCCAATTCAGTGTAATATAAGATCTTGGCTGTAAACAGAAAAAGCAACATCTTCCCTTTACTGTTTTATCTGTACGGCTCTAATGCCAGTCCTTCTTGCCACTCCTGTGACATTACCCTCCTTCTCTGCAGTAGACTTCATGAAGTCTTCATAAAAGACCTTAAAAAGGTCTTGTTTTCCTCAACCTTTCTGAAAAACAGTGTAGAAAAATACAGTGTGTTTATGGAGACTGTAAAGTGCTTATCTCTAAAGCAAAATATAGTGCTTGGTGTGGAGAAGAGGGGAAGAACAGGATTTTTGATTTGATACATGTTGAGAAGAGCAGCCCTAATTCTTGAGTGTGAGAACTCCGTGGATGATCACTCACAGTCACATCTACTACTACTACTTCTGTTGTATTTAATGAATAAGGACTGATTAAATTGCCAGAAAGTAATGAGAGTTGCTATCAGTGTCTGCGTCCTGTATTTCAAAATAAGTGTTTCTCTAACTGCATAATCTCCAAAGGAAAGCTTTGAAATTTTTTCACCACTGGAGGGCTCCCATATTTAACTGAGGTACACAACAACAATAATTGGAAAGATAAAGCTCTCATAAATATAAGAATATAACTAAATATTCCAAACTGTCAGAAGAAAGCACTGAAGGAAAATACTGTGCATATGGATTTTTGAACTAGAATTTTATGCCTCTGAAAAAAGTGGAAATAATGTATTCCTGCAGTGTACTGGTCAATTGAAAAGATGGAATGTATGTGTAATCACTGAGCAAATGTATAGTAAATTAACACTGGTTAAAATCTACCAGTATGTTTGTAGTCCTTTTCCCTTCTGAGCGTAGGCGTCTCCCAGCTGTCTCACAGTGGTGCTCACCTGAGCTGGTAGGCTGTAGTGAGCAATCACTCCCAAACACTGCAGGCTCAGCAATTGGAAGCAGAAGCATTCCACATACAGAGAGATGAGTGAGTGCGATTGCTGGGGTCAGGTAGAGAGAGATACTGCAGACTTTCCAAATTCTTTTGCCTGAATACTGCTTATTTGACATAATCTTTAGCTTGGTGTTTTGTGAAGGTACCATATTTTATGTACTGTATTTTAACTGCTGTAAATGACTGTTGACATACCATTGCATTGTAACAGTCATGGGCTGAGTTAGCTGCTTACCTATAGTAAGTTCCAAAGAGTTTAACCTTGAGACCACTGTGAAACCAGAACCATACCTGCATTTCAAATACTTTTAAGCACTAGTTTAAAAATAGTGTGTGTTTCTTTTGTGTTTTTCTAGCTCTATTACAGAGGTAGAATATGAAACAACAAATTAGGTACTTCTGATTGTGTAATGATGATGTTTACCTGGTAAAATGTCAGCTGAAATAATCATTCAGTGTACATCATGTCCACTGTGCTTTCCTAATGAGATAAATACATTTAAATGTGACCTAATATAAGGCTCACAACAGTTGTGTTTTGGCTTATAGGTAACTTCCTGTAAAATAGTCTATTTTGAGGCATCTATTAAATCTACATGCACACTTGTTTAGTTGAGAGAAAATAAATTTACCTGTGTTAGAAGAATTTGCTTTTGACAGTTTACCTTGGCATCTGTTGACTTGGAGCAGAGAGGTATAATGAGTTCTGTTTGTTGAAACAAATTTTTTCAATATTCTAACATTCAGTCTGATTTCACTTCTACTTTATATGTGGTTTGTTGCCAGTGTGCTAGTGTCATCTCTAGAAATTCATAATAAAATTTAAAAATAAGGTGTATTTTTTAAAATATCTTTAACATTTCTGACAGCAATGGTTTCATGAACTGGATGATAAGAAGCGAGTTCTTTATGAGAACTGCAAGGAGCTGATGAAGCAAGCTCAACAGGTCTGCAAATTGAGTCCAGATCAAGATTTTCCAAGAGAATTGCAAAGCGTATGTACAAAAACAAATCTCCACATCTGTCTTATATGTATAACTTCTGCAAAGAGTATTCTTTATATTAGAGAGCTCCCAGTAAAGGATCATGTGTATTTCTTTTATTGTCACTTAACCTTTTAAAGAACCTTTAAATAGTGCTGGAATACCCTCTGACTATCACTTTGTTTTGTGCACAGGGGAGAGAAAATTTGATCTGAGATTTTAATTAAAATCCATAGTATTTTGTTCACAGAAATAATTAGAGGCTGTATTTGTCTAGCTTCCTTCTCTGTCCAAAGTAGTTTGTAAAGGGAATTTTGCTGTGTTTAATTTTGAATATGCAACATCCTGGTTAAAAGTAATAGAATACTTTATGGTTTATTCAGTTTCTTTTTAGAAAATGTGAGTCCTGTATTAGTATTGCTTTGTAACACTTGCATCTTTTCTCTTGTAGAGTTTTCAGGCTCTTCCAAACACACTGGAGGAAATTGATGCTCTTCTGAATGAAGAGAAGACCAGGGCCTCCTGTTTCACAGGCCTGAATGCTTCAGTATGTTCAGTGCTTACCTTCTACTCACTCTTCCTCCCCCTCTGCTTGCACTGTACTTGCTTTCCACTCTGTGCTACATCCCTTGGTATAGGTATAAAAAGCTAGACAGCAGGAACAATGTGCTGTAAATGCCAGATTCTGCATCTATTCAAATTTTAAGTAGGTTGTTCCAAGAGAACAGTGTGTTCTGTGCCTTTTAAAAAAAAAGTGAAAGAGGTAATGCTTTACAATTTCTTTGCTTTAAAGCTAGAAATGTTTAGTGTGCAGTGCAATAGTGTATATAATTGTATTTGAACATTATCAGTGCAGTGTGATATTATTACAGTAAAGGTTAGAATTGGGAAACGTTTTGTTGATTACCTTTTTTTTTATTATGGCAGGTTGTTGAAGAATACAATAAGCAAACACAAGAAATACAGCAGTTGACAAAATATCTAGAGGAAAAGAAAAATGAATTGAATAACTATAGGCAAAACATTTCACAGGTAATAGCTCAAGTTATCACTTTAGTATCATTATAATCTTATTTCATTATACATTTTAGAACAAATGTATGTACAGAAATAAAGGGTAACATTTCAAATTGTCTTGAGTGTAAACTGAGATGTGAGCTTCCCTAATCATGATGTTTCTTTAAATGCTATCTTTAAGGGAAAATTCAGTTTTTGAACTGGTTTTACATGGGTTTGTCTTTTAGGTCAAAGAAAGGTGGTTAAACCTCTTGAAAGGCATGATTGAACAAATTAATGCTAAGTTCAGTAAGTTCTTTAGTTCTATGCAGTGTGTTGGTGAAGTTGATCTTCATGTGGAAAATGAGGTAAGATTTATTTTTCATATGGAAGAATAACATTTTTTTGCATCATCTTTTGTCCCTTTATTGCTAGAGGAAAGTAACAAGTGGTCATTTGGAGATGTTATTTTTAAAAAATAATGAACTTTTACTGAACACTTTGTGTACTGAACTTACTTACCAGTCTGATTTGAAGAAAATTGGGTTTTTATCCAGATAGATAGGACTTCACGTCTTGACTTGTGGAATAGGCTTGCAACTTACAGAGCTTGGTTAGAAGCTGTAACTCAGATTTATGAAATTAATGATTTGATTCTGCATTTTCAGCTGATTTGTGTTCCTCTGTTATCATCTATATCTACTATTATTAGGTGTTGATTTCTTTCTACATGTAGTTTCTACTGGAGTGTGCTGGCATTTTGTCTGTTCTGGAAGCAGCAGTCATTGGGCCCATCCTGTTATGCTTTCAGTAGGGTTTACCTCTGAAGAGTTTAAAGCATCAGTAGAATTTAGGGAGAAATAGTAAGCGCAGTGAACAGAAAAGAAGTTGGATATTTTGTTTTAAATTGATCTCTCTAGTGATGATTTCAAAACTTACATGTGTTAATGCATAGACTCCACAATAGTGAAAATTAAGACTTAAGCTTTTCTTTTTTTTGCTATTGTAAATTAACTCAAGCAGCTTTTTTAAAAATATTTGAAGTGGCAGCTATTACTCGGGGCAGAATAGTGTCCGAGAAGGCTCTGTATATGAACTGCATAAAAAATGGAGACTAGTGTGAAACAGTAGGACATTAAAACATGGACTTTTCTGGTCTTTTGATAGTTACCTGCAGAGTCAGATCTATTTTACACAAAACTATCTTTTAGATAAAAGTAAGTTGGCAGTGAGAACACAGAAGGAACATTAAAGCAGTTCAAAAGCAAAAGGAGTCTGGACTGTCTTTCTGAGTATCTTCTTTGGAAGGTCTTGCTTTTCTATAGCAAAGATGTCACAAGTAGTTTTAAGAGGTTAGCCAGTGGTATTGTGCCAGTGAGTAAAACTTCCTTGCTCAGGGGGATCAGTGGCAAAAATGCAGAAAGGTAGATAATCTGTTCCTGAGCTTGGATTCCTTACCCTTTGCTGCAGCAGGGTCTTTTGCCTGACCTGTAGATATAAAGAGAAACACTCTTGAGGTAGAATTATCTTTTCTTAGAAATATTTGTGTGACGCTGAAGTTCAAACCTCTGTTAGCCTGCCTTGCAGGCTACTTGAGATCTGTTGATGTCCTTGGTGACAGTAATAGGAGGAATCTTGGACATTGGGAGAGATTTCACAGAAAGGGAGACTAGACATTGGAACTACCTGCCTAAGGAGGTGGTCTAGTTGACATGGTGGTGTTCAGTAATAAGGTGGACTCTATTATCTCAGAGGTCTTTTCCAACAAAATTGATTCTGTGATTCTGAATCTGTGATACTGTGTGGAACACTTCACTGGGTTCTTCCTTGATGTCCTAGCACAAGCCTCAGTGAACATTTTGACTTTCCTTGGCTAGCAGTGATAACCCTCACATTCCTTGATTTCCCCACGGGGAGTTTTGAGCATCGTTCTTGTCAGGTCTTGAACATCTTGTCAGTTGTAGAAACTGGCATTCCAAATAGTCTGGCAACAAAGGCCTGACTTTCTGACACCATCATGACTGTGTTGGAGGGTAAATCTTTCTTACTCAAAGTTTTGCTAGCCTGTACCTTGTTCACTTTCCTGAGCCTAGCTTCAGTCTGTGCAAATGGATCTAAGATTATAGTGGGTCTAGAGACCTGAGATCCTAGTTTTTATTTCTCCTTACACGAAGTTGTGATCAGAACAACTGAACACAACTTCAGAAATATTAATGAGTACTCTGAAGATTTCATTTTTCTCTGAATCATGTATTTCCTTGCATGATACTTCTTTTGAATCACATCTGTTACCTGACACCTTTGCATTGACTCAGGCTGCTGACCAGTGTCACTTTACTGTTAAAGAAAAGCCAGGATTGGAATCTTTGTGTGTGGTTTTCCTGTGTTAAGGATGAAAAGAAAATTGCTGTGGTGAATTTTGGACTGCTTGCACTTGAAGAGGTTCAGATGGGATCTTAACCTACACACCACCATCACTCCTTTGTTCAATTTGGTAGTACCATGTACCCTAATGCCCTAATTTTTTTTCTGATTAATGGGATTTATAGGGACATTGTTTTCTTCTTTTTCTAACCAAGATTTTTTTTCCTACTGATGTTCTGAATGTGTATGAAACCTTTCTTACCAGGGATTCAGAAATGAACAGATCATTGTCATGGGGAAGGAGTGTTGTTGAAGTATATATATGAGATTTAAGGAAAATAGATGAAACAGAATTAATATATTGATTTTAAGTTGAAACTGAGTAGTTTGTAGACCCTTGTAGAATATTTGTCATAAATTTCTTCAATTTGCATGTAATTATAAAATAAGCTGTATTACGAAGAAAATGAGTCCGACGGGTACTGGCTTTTACAGGAGGAGTACGACAAGTATGGGATTCGCATTAGAGTCAAATTCCGCAGTGGCACTGAACTTCATGAATTGACTCCATATCATCAGAGTGGAGGTGAGAAGAGTGTTTCCACTATGTTATACCTGATGGCTCTACAAGAACTCAACACATGTCCTTTCAGGATTGTTGATGAAATAAATCAGGTGAGGATCAATAGTGCAGTATCGAACTTATTACATACAGGTGCTTATGACACAGTGAAGAGAACAGTTTTGGTGTTTTTTTTCCCCTTTTAGGGAATGGATCCAGTGAATGAGAGAAGAGTTTTTCAAATGGTTGTCGAAACTGCTTGTAAAAAAAAGGCATCTCAGTACTTCCTCATTACACCAAAGGTGCGTGGCAGAAAATGAAATGAAAAATTTAGTGTAGGAGATTTAAGATTTGTGTGATAATACCTCTATAAACACACTGTATAACTTAGCTCTGTTTTACCTAAGGACTTCATATTAAAGGGTAACTGAGAGGATTTGTCCATTTTAAGGACAGTCCTGGCAAGAATTGAGGCAACTTAGACCAAGGCTCATGTCCTCAAAAAACCATTCAGTGGAAGTATCATATGTTAACCACCAGTGGCTAGGGTTACCATGGAACAAGGCCTCTAGCTAACACAATTCAAACTGTAGAAAAGACCAATTTCCAAACAAGTCAGATGATGATACTGGAGGAGGAGCAGGCTAGTGCTGCTGATGTCTGAAGAACTAGAAGAGGCCCATATTAATAGAGGAAAACTATTCAAGTAATAATCTGAGACACAGAAGCTGAGAAAAGGTGAGAGCGAGACTCCAAGAGTGCTTAATTGTACTCTTCTGTTAAAATAAAAATATTAAAAGATAATTGACTTACTAAGTGATGTGGCGATCTGATGCCAAGGCTTGAAAGGACTAAGGTAAGTACAGTTCACCCATACCTTTAACAGAAACTAATGGTATTGAACTAGTGAAGGTTATATGTGCACCAGGGAGACAAGCAGTCAGTAGTGGGCTGGTTTTTATTAAGATACCGGGTCTGCACCCTGTTACTCACTGTTTTAGAAAATCTGGCTGGTTTATGCTATTATTTTCTGTACATAACAGTTGAAGGGTCTGAGTAAAGCCACCTTAACAGCATTTACCTGACTGAAAGTGGGTGGAAGGTGGGTGCTGCTTGTTCCTTCTGATCTTGCTGTATACTTGCCTCCACACAGTTTCATGGTTTCCTGACCACATTACTTCTCTATTGTTCTCTGTGTTACCCACTCTCTTTTATCTTCTTGAGATTCCCTTCCTTATTGGATCAGCTTTTCTGTGCTCTTTCCTGCTTTGAGAAGGAACAGAATGATTTAGATGTTGAAAAAAATAGAGATAGCTCAACTAACTATAATGCTTCCCAAATCTAGGAAACTGTAGAAAATGACTGTCTGGGGTTCAGAGTTGTGTTCTGTTCTAAAAGTTGTGCTCATTGTCAAATTACTAAGAATAGAGACGGGGAAATGGGAGTTGTGCAGAGCTAACCAGAAGGAAAAGAATAAAAATAAAACGGGTAAAAAAATCTCAGAAGCATTATTCAGCAACAAAAGACAGTGCTATGAAGAGGTGGCTGAAGGTATTACATCTTTCTGGCTACCCCTTCTTTCCACTCCCCACAAACAGGTGATGGCCACAGCAAAGTTGTAATGGCCTGTCACAAGAAACATCAGTGAGAGAGCACGTCATGTACAGATTTTAGCCCATAACAGTGTTTGAGTGGGCACATCAAAGAATCATTGAAAGGCTGCACAGGGCAGGCTGAGGAGAAAGCCAGACTGCTGTTGCAGTGCCTTACCTGCAGTTCTGAGCCTGTGCTGTATGTTACCACTTCCTAGAAAGCAAGGATGTAATCACGTACTAGGAAGTGTGACTGATTGCCATTCTAAGGTAAATTCTATGAATGTACCCAGTGGATACAGGGAAAACTGTGACCCTTTTTTTGTTGACACCTTCCCCAGCTATATTTTTAAGCAAGCTATAGGTGGGAAGGGGTATAAACTAGTATGCAGTAAAGTTGATTAGGAAAATTGTATTCTGTAATTAATGGTCAAATGAGTAGATGAACTGAGTGTATTCCGTAGAAGTGGATTTGAAAATCAGTATTTTTAATAAGAATCTGTGCTGAAACAAATTACGTTTGTTAAACGTATGAATTATCACCATGTTGGGAGTTAATCCTTTTTTGGCTGTAAAGCAAGATTAGAATTCTAAACAATCTTAGGTATCTTTAATTGAAAACAGGATTCATTTCAGCACAGACAAGCATAAAATTTGGTACTTAACTGGGAAAAATCAAAAACAGCATCTGGTCTGAGGCCTAAATGACTGGGGAGACAAGTTACTGTGGATAATAAGTTGAGCATCAGTTACAGGTAAATCGCTAAACATCATCCTCACCACTGCACATAACCCTACAGCTTGCATGACATCTGTCTCCTGGGCTTGTGCCTGCAAGATTTGGATTGTGGTAAGTGTCCAGCTTTGGCTGTGACCTTCAGAAAAGTAGTTTGGGGGGGCTGGAGTTAGTCCAGAAGACAGCAGAGCAACTTTTAAGTAGTTTTGATTGAGTTTCCGCTAATGACAATTGCTTAGCTTAGAGGAGCACAAGGCTAAAGAGAGACATAATAATTGTACCCAAGTAAATCTACTTCCTATCCTGCCCTAGGAAAAAAAAAAGGAAAACCAACTGTTACTCTCTCCCTCTTGTGGATACAGAAAAAAGTACTGAAATGGTTTCTTCCAATAAGAATAGTGACACATGGAAATTGCCTGAAGAATGAGTGGAGTCTCTTTGAGGTGGTTTCTAGGAACAAATGTACATCATCTGTCAGAAAGGCTATAATTCTGCCATATTGACCTTTTGAGATCTAAGGTCTCATGTAGACTTCCCTTTTTAGAAAATGGGAAACATGTACCTATTTTGACTTTGGGGTTTGTGTTTTTCACTAGCTCCTGTGGAATCTCACTTACAGTGACAAGATGACTGTGCTGTTTGTCTACAGTGGACCTTTTATGGTGGAGTCAAAAAAATGGAACACAAAGTATTTCATGAAGCGACGACGTCGACTTTCAAGGATGGCTGAACAGTGTATAGCTACAGATACGTAGCTATATATATAAAATGTTTCTGTAGAAACATATATATATAAATGTTTACATATATAAAATGTTTCTGCAGACCTTTTTTGAAACATTTGGCTTTCAAGACTCCAGAAGTTGTCAAAGAGGAGAACCTGCAAAGAATTGATAGTTAAGGACGTGAATCTTAAAATTTACACAGATTTGAAGTGCATGATTTCTTTTTGAAGCCTATCATAGTGGTCACTTTCTCTGAAGAACTTGCTTTTTCTCAATGATAGGTTTAAATAAAAAAGGAAATTTCTTGTATTTTTCTGGGTTTTTTTTCAGTAATGCAGCATTAGAAGTACAGTTAATTTTTCTAGGTTATGCTGGACTAATTCTATTACCGTTGTTTTTTGGAGTCTGGTTTTTTTTCCCCAAAAATTGCAATTAGCTTTTGGTAAATAGTCTTCATTTACCACAGATATGGATGTTATCTGAAGTTCCCCTATTGAAATGTAACCTTTTTTAATTAGTTCAGATGATCTATAGGGAGAGAAAGATTTGTAAGTAGCTGAGCACTGGTTTTTATTTTGCGAAAATACACCTGAACTTAATATAAAGAATATGGTTCTATGAATGTATTACTGTTGAGTAAATACTTTATAATCATTATTTATCATTTTTGACATAATGTTTCATTTTGTAGTCCTCAAGGGATAAGGTCACAAAATCACAAATATTTGACAGAAGAGCTAAAAGAGTGTGGAAACTTGAGCTCTGGTTCAGGGTTCGGGTTGGTCAGCAGAGTATCCTCAACATAATTAAAATTGCAGGTCTGTCTGTCTGTCCAGTGTATTGCAGGGTCTTTGTTTTATATGTGTTCTTTGATAGACAAAATACTTCGCTCCTTGTAACCCTGAACTTTTAAGGTGGTTGTTTTGTTATGTTTTTCATTTTTATTTTTAGGGAGTTGTAAAAACAGACATTCTGTTTAGTCTCTGAGCATCAATGTATGAAAAGTGCAATTTGCTTTCAGTGTCTAAATAAGTGAAACTACTTACATGAACATGTGTTAAGACTTGGTTCTTCTGTGACTAGAGAGCACTATCTGTTCTTAATGCTGTCATGTTAGAACTTCGTGGGATTTCTTTTTTGATTTCAGTTCCTTTCTCATGTTTCAAACTGAGGTAGGAAATAGAAGTGACTTATTTCAAGAGGATGACACTTCAGATCCTGTCTCAGAAAATTACCTCTTGTGGATACATGGCTGCCACACTGCACAAGTGAAGAGGTGTTTGATTTTTCCTTGAAGCCATTGATCACAGGTGCTGATTTCATTGTATCTTACTGCAATCTTAATACAATACTGTCATTCATATTAACTTACCCTAGGCAGTGTAATGAGCTGCAAAACTACCACTGTCATGGTACTAACAAATAGATCTTCAGTGTCCAGCAGCTCTCCTACCTGAGGCCTCTGGGGGAGGTCTGTATATGGAAGCAGCCGTTGCTGTTTGCAGTGGGCTGCACAACATGGCTGTGGCCTCCCATACACTGGGTCCTGTTAACCACCTGCTGATTTGTGTGAGAGGTGCATCCAGAGACCTTCTGGTGTAAAAGGGAGCCTTTTGAACTTGAAAATCCACATGGAGTTGCCAAATGTAGCTGCAGTATTACAGAGCATTCTCTACCAGCTAACAGGGCCCTTCTGTGCTGCCAGCTTCCTCATGCTTTGCTACTGACATTCAGCTCTTGCTATAAAAACCCGTGGAATTGATTTCAATGTAACTTTGAGGAGGGGAGAATGAGTGGGAGTTAAGGTTAAATATACATGTGATATCCAACTTTCCCTGCTGACTAGACAGGACCTCTCAAAAATGTAGAAGTGGAAAGACCCCAAATAGTCTAAACAGTTGATGTATAAATTGAGCTTTCTCAAAAAATAGGTGCTCTGTTTAGACCAGCTGAAGACTAGGGCAAAGATCTTCTTCCACCACCATCTGCAGTTCTAACAAACATCTGTCTCTGCTTATGTATTGCAACAGAGAGAAAGAGCATGGAAATTGTGACTTACTGAGAAATAAAAAGATCTTGGGGGAAAAAAAAGCATTTAATACAACACGTACTTGTGCAGGTACATTATTGTTATTTAGGAGAGATTGCTTAGTCAAAACAACAAACTACAATGAGGAGAGACCCTTGCACCACTACACTGCTTTTAACATGCTTAGATGAAGCTTAGTTTTGTACTGGAAATAAAAGAAATGTGTCCTGACAAAGTTGGTCCTGACTGGAAACATCTGTTCTCCAAGTTTTTAGAGTTAGTGAGAGATGACAGAGCTGGCCTGGGCTGCAGGATGCTTACTGAGAAGTATGGTAGATGCTCTTTAGAGGCTGAGATAGGCACCTGCTCCAGGCCTCACAGCAAGTGGTACTTAGAGTTAACATTACTAGAGGCTTTTGTCTTTGATTTATTCCAAGATGCCTTCTGTTCCTCTTGAAGTAAACTTCTCCAGTTGTCCAGTCTTTCTTCTGTTGATCTATTTGTTACCCCTACCAGGCCAGTGGGGTTTTTTTGACAGATGTACTGGTTTGGGCTGGGATAGAGTTAATTTTCTTCATAGTAGCTTTTATGGGGTTATGTTTTGGGTCTGTGACCAGGAACACTGTTGGTAATATAGGGATGTTTTAGCTATTGCTGAGCTGTGATTGCACTGCATTGAGTCCTTTCCTGGTTCTTGCACTACCCCACTAACACAAAAAGTTTATAGGAAGTTGGAAGGGGACACAGGTAGGACAGCTGACCCCAGCTGACGAGAGGGCTATCTCGTGCTGTATGACATTGTCCTCAGCAGTGAAAGCCAGGGGAAGAAGGAGGAAGGAGGGACATTTGGAATTACATCTTCTCAAGTAGCCACTGTGTGGGATGGAGCCCTGCTTTTCTGGAGGAATAGCTGAACCCTTGTCTGTTGATGGGAAATAGTGAATGAATTCCCCATTTTGCTTTGCTTGTGCATGCGGCTTTTGCTGTAGCTGTTAAACTGTCTTTATCTCAATCCACGAGTTTTCTCATTTTTATCCTTCTGAGTCTCTGGCCCATCCCACTGGGGGAGGGTGAGCAAGTGGCTGCCTGGCACTGACCTGCTACCTAGGATTAACCCACATTGTATATTGGTCTCAAAACATGACTTTATGCCCTTCATTATTGCACCTGGAGCTACATAAAATGGTGGCAAATATCTTTGCTCATTGTGTACTAAGAAGAGCAAGTCACCTGCTCAGAGGGAAGCATGGATATGAGAACATGGCAAGTTAGCTGGAATGACAGAATTCACTTTGTTGGGGATAAGGAACCATGCACAGTGGCAGTCAGAGCTGATTTTGCAAGAAGAAAGAAGGAGGGAACAGATGATAACTCAGGGTGGCAGAAGATATCAAGGAGCCTTGGAAAAGAACAAAGAGCAGAAGAGGGCACAGGCAATGTGCAACATGAATGGTTCAAAGCAAATCAGGATGATGTAATTTAAAAGGGAAAAGTCTCTAATTCCCCCTTCCCCAGTTTGTAACGAAAGCTGTAAACTGTGAACAGTATGCAGCTTGATCTTAACTGCAGTCCATTAGCACTGGTTTGCCTCAGTTTGGGTCATGTAATAACTTTTTCATGGAAAATAAAGGGGTTTTTTGACTTTTATTTTTGGTTTGTTGGGTTTTTTTGGTTGGTTTTGAGGGGGATGGATGTTGGTTTTTTGGTTGGTTGGGTTTTTTTGTTTGTTTGTGGGTTTTTTGTTTGGTTGTTTTTTTTTGCATAGGTATTTTGTTTGTTGGGTTTGTTTTTGGTTTTCCTGAAGAATTACAGCATAAATCCAAAGCAAATGATCGACAGAAGGAGTGCAAAGACACTCTCAGACACTGCTGACAGTATCAGCCTCACTTTGTGCTCCTGCAGTGATGCTTAAAGGTCTGTTCAGGTGAAAAGCCACTGATGTTACAGTTTTCTGTGGGATGTGGTGGTTGAGGAATCTGATTCCACTTTGTGTCTGCTTCTGAGCTGAACTGTACTTTCCATGAAGAACTTTTTTGGTCAGAAATTTTGTAGTATTTAAAATACACTTTGCTGTATAAAATATCCTGGCTTGGTGCCAGTATAATTAAAGTGCTACAGTCTTCAGTGTGTATGTACTTCCTTAAGCATCAGTATGTAAAAAATCAGTATGTTCATGAAAAATCATTGGAGTAAGTTATATTGGGAGAATCTCCTTTGTTTCAGTTTGGATAAATTTACAGTAAGGCTGTCCCCCTTGATATGTTTCAGTTTAAAAATGATAGCCCTAAGAAATGTGGTTCGTGAGGTATAAGAGCTGAATGTAGCTTAGTTTCTAGATTAGGCCTGGATTATCTTCTGCAGTTCAGAAAGGCAAAGGCAGTGATTTGCCACCAGCATTGCACAGGCTAGTAACAGAATTGTGGTTTTCCCTGGCCATGTGTTTTCTGACAGACTTTTTCAGCTTGGAAACACTATTCAAGGCCAGCAAAGCACTCATTAACAGCAGAAGAGGCCAAACTTATATGTGGTCTCTCCAGGGAGCTCTAATGCAATTTACATCTACGTCTGCTGAAACTTCTACTGTTATCTTTCTGACCCCTGCCCATTAGCCAAAAGAGGAAAAAAAAGCCATTGGGAAAAACTCAAGACTTTTCTGTGTACCTTTTTAGCACAGTGTGTGGAGGGCTCTGATGTTGTCTCTCTTCCAGTAGGGTTTTCTTGTATCTTGGCATGGTGAGCTGCCTCTGTCTACTCAGATTCTCCTTGTGCTGTGGTTTACACACTCCAGTTCCTTGGTACCTTGTGTTTCGTTGCGCAGACACTCAGGCATTATATGGCCTAAGAGGCAACAGACAACACTGAAATAGAGACTGATGGGTTTTGATATGAAAAGCGATGAATTGGAGGCCACAAGCCAGTAAAAATAGAGTAACAGTTGCAGCAATTTCAAAAGTACAAATCAAAAGCAATAGGGATTCTTCTCTCTCTCACCCCAAAAGCCATGAGTTGGAAAAATACAGAAAGAAGCATCTGTTAAGGATTAGAACTGATGGCAGTCAAGATCTTCTCTTTTTGAAATGGAAAGATTTCCACAATACTTGTGGAAGTGTTTGAGGAGGTGTTTTAGGGGTCAGGGAGTTTCTCATTGAAGAGAGCATGACACTGAAAACATGGTAACTGCAAAATTCTTGCCATTGGGAAAGCTTCCCCTTCTTTAAGGCAGTCCCTTAAAGAGTAGCTGGGTAAGTACAGTTGTCTGGCAATTGTGAGTTCACAATTAAATTACTGTTGATGAAATTTGTCAGATGTGGCTAGGAAGTGCAAGGAGCTCAAGCTGGAACAGATTGTTTCCAAAGCAAAAGCCATTGAGAAAGTAGTGGTTGTTACAGAGCTCTGATGCAGAAAGGAAACCTCACTGACTCCTGAGCCCTGGAAGAGGGAGTGCTGAACAATATTGTTCTAGACTCCTATGGAGATCAAAATCATCCAGGTCACCCAGCAGGCAGATTCAGAAAGCCACCCTTCCTCATATGCAGCTTTCTGAACCACTCTGCAGGCATTGAACCGAACTTATAAGACATTTTATGGCATATTTCCCTTCTTCTGTTCTTGGCAGAGAGGAAGAAGGAAAATACAAGAGACCCTCACAACCTTTTAGACATTGTGCTCTCAGAGTCAGCTGGTCTGTGTTCAGGGTCACTCTTCCCTGTACCACTGTTGAAGTCTGCCAGCACCACTGTGGTGCACCCAAGTCTTCACATGGCATACAAAGTGCAGTCAAAATTTACACCACTCCTGGCAAGACTGCTCTTGGAGAGTGTACTAGATCTCAGTGGTTGGAAACATCCTCCTAAGGCTAAAGCCTTCTGTGCACTAGGAAGATTTTTGTAGCTGTTCCAATTACAGCACTAAAGACAAATACTAGGGGTTCAAGGTGAAGAATGGTAAATTTGTAGAAAGTCTTTAATGATGGGCTTGCAAGGGAATGAGGCCAATGCCACAGTCCTGTGTCCCTTATTCCTAAAATCAATGACAAGCTAAAAGAAGAAAACCTTATCCTGAGTTTATCTATCCTTTGGCCATCCACCCCAAGAAGAGGAAACTCCAACTCAGCATCAAGTCAAATCTGGAGGCTACTTAAAAGTTTAGTTCCAGGTGCAGATGGCATGCTTCCACCTGACTGTCTCTACCTGCATTGGTGGAAGGTTATGTGTTCCCCTGGGTCCAGGGCTTATCCTGCAGCCATACCCTAGCACTGTTCCCATGTACCAGGTTAAGTTAGTTCATCTAAGTAGTTGCTTTTAGCAACTGCAATGTCAGTGACTGTAAATGTCAGTGAGCTTTTTGGCACAGGGCTCCTTGACCTTCTCTCCTTCAGAGGCTAAGCAAATGGTTTTTTATCCCATATGCCAGCAACCCTCCAACACCACGGAAAGCTCAAGGCAGCAGTGTGGTTGCACAGGCTAAAGCATCATTAGTTCAAGGAGCAGCTGTGTGAAGCAGAGCACCAGTCTGAGCTCAAAAACCATGGAGCAATGGGAGACAGACTTCTTAGGAGCTGGAGCATGCAGGTGATGCGACATTTTTCCCCCACTACAAGTTGTGTCTCTCTCTCCCTGTTGTACTGGCAGAAGGAATACCTGGGAAACAAGACCCAAGCCAAATAATGACTAGCAAGACTAAACCCTTCAAAGCTGGTTCATACAGTACTCAAGCCATGGATTTCATCATGTGCAGCAGGATTTTTTGTAATCATTGATTACAAATCAATGACCACTGCTTGACTCCAATCATTCAAGATAAAGTTGGGGTTTTTTACTCCTTTTTTCTTTATTTGGACAATATATATACACATATGTACAAAAACATCTATGCCTACTTTTTTTTTCTTTTCCTTTTTTTACAATTTCATGTGATTTACAAAACAGGACAGCAAAATAACTTATAAAGAATACGAATACTGTACAAAAATAAAACTGATTAAACTGTTGGAAGTTGGTATTTTACAGTGTTACAGATCACTAGTTTGTAAAACAGCACTTTGAAGTATG